TTTTAGTCTTAGCCTCTGCTAACCAGTTCATATGTGCTAAAAGGTGGAATTTTTTTAAGAGTATATAATATCAAGAGTCAAACTCTGACTTTTCTCCTTTTCTTAAGAATTTCTATTTGATATGTAGAATTCTTCCACAGACATCATACTTCGGATATTTTGAAATTGTGTTTCAGAAACTGGGCAGTTGGTTTTTTCCCTTTTCTTTTCTTTCTTACTCTCAAAGAGTCTCTGAAACAGAAAGGCACACTATGTAGTCATATAATTACAACGAACCCAAACGGGCTGTGAGGCCATGTCCCTCAGTGTCCACACTTCAAAGACAGGAGGCCCCGAAGCCATCAGTTTTACTCTATGAGCCAAAGTTCTTTCTGTGGGGATTTATTATTTTTGCTAATATTTAAGATTAGGATAAATACTAGATATCCTCTTTACGCTTTAGAGGATCCTGTCAGCATGACAGATGTTTTATGTAGTTCCGTATTTCAACATGTCAGACACACACTCAGATCTCCTTCTTTTCCATGAAGTAATAATTTTTAAAAAGTTCACTTGGGGATACATAGGGCCAAATACCTAAAGAAATAAAAAATACATTATTTTATATGAGAATATTAATTCAGTCAGTTTAGCAGCCAATAAAAATGTCATGGCATTTTTCTGAACCCAAACAAAAGAAACACACAGTTGTTGAAAAACTTCAAAATTTGGTAAGTCCTTACATTACTGATGAGGCTATTATCAATGAGAAAGGTAATGGAGATATAAATATACACGAGCAGGATCGTATCTGACAACCATAACGTCTCATATTTATCATCTGAACTGCCCACAGCAGGTTTGTGCTCTCACAAAGGGGCCATCTGTTAAAAAGATGAATGCAAAGGTAAACACTAACACTCCTCAAGGTGTTAAGACTTAGAAATTATTGTTTTCAAAATACTAAATGCTAAAAATAGAACACTCCTTTTGATAAGCAATGGATCAGCTAAGCTTAATCATTACTTGGTTATTGTTTCAGCTTTTCTAACTTAATACATACTCAGCTTTAAATGAGGTTGTGTGCAATTTCAGAAAAAGCCCTGGGCTCAAGATCAGGTAACCTATGTTTTATTCTTGGCTCTGTCCCTAAGTATCTGTTACCCCTGTTGATTAAATTAGTTTTCACATTTGTAAAATGATGGGTCTGCACTAAATTGCCATTAAGGACTTTCTATCTGGTTTGATGACCATGATCAGGATGATACGGTCTGAGCAGGGCTTCCCAGAGATGTTCTATGTCCTTCCATGCCAATGAAAACATTTGATAGGGTCCAGTACCTTCTCTTCCCTCTTACAATGGTGATGTAAACTACCCAGTGAGAAAAGTTCCACTTTCGTACTCCATAACAAGCACCACAATGCAAAGATGCCTACAAGTTGACAAAAATTATGGGTATTTGACATGACTCTCCTCAACAGCAGGTGGGGGTGGATGCTAGGCGCTTTAAACAAAGTTCAATGTACTCTACTATTACAAAACAAACTAAAATAATTTCTTCCAATAAGTTCAGTGAAAACAAGTTGGGAGAAGAGAGACCAGAAGAGTCTTTATAGGTAAAATAAATGACGATGAGAAAAAAATAAAGCATATGTAATGGAAAATGTTTTTTTAAATCCTTACATCGTTTTTGCTTTAAGATCCTATTTCTTGCTGTTTAATATTTTTGATTTGAGAAATTAGAACAAATAATCTAGCACGGTGTGAGCAGTGGACGAAAGTGGACAACTTCGGCTGGTGCAGTGTCCACAACGCCAGTTCTTCCACGTATAGTTTCAGTCCCCACCCAGATGAGTAGGTGAGTCTTTTAATTCTCTCAGAAACTTATAATTAAACTGAAGGAAATACCCACAATACATTGGTTCATTTCTGACATCCTTGAATGCATGAGGCCAGAGTCACAGGATTCACCTTTGCTTTTACGACCTCGGTCTCAACCCAAAGAGTATAGTGGAGTGTGATCTATCTTTTATGTCACACTGTTCATGACAAAAAACAAAAAAGGCAATAGTTTCATTTTGTCTCTTGAATTTTTTCTTTATAACAAGGAAGTATAATAAAATTAAATAAGACTAAGTATTTTTTAACACCTTCTCATTGTATGTATACAGAACAACCTTCATTGAATGGACATAACAGGCCCAGTTACTGTGGGTGCTGCTCACTACATAAGGCAAGCACCTGGAGAGGCCCAGTCACCGGGTTCAGAACGGCCAGTGCCAGTCAAACCGGTTCCACCATGAGAAAGAATACATAGCATTCAGCTATGGAGAAAACCTTAGCTCCTCACACAGCTGCCACACCCACTGATCGAGGGGATTATTGGAGAACTTGTTCCCTGGCATATGTTGTCGGTTTGGCTAAAATAAACTCTTATTAAAAAGTTTTTAAAAGAAAGTACCGATTGTTGAAATATCTTGAGTTTATTACCTGTTACGCTTCCTCAAGGCAATACTGCAGATGAATAGTGCTAAACAGAAAACCAGCACACCCATATGAAGCATTTCCTTTCCTTTCCATATTCCCAGAGGGAAGGGCTATCGTATTTATTGAGTGCCTACTATGTACTAAGGATGTGCTGTCTTTTAAATGGTAGACAGTCAATACATATTTACTATCTGGATAAAAATAGAAGCATATAGTTTCTCCCTCATCTTCTCTTAACCAGTATATCAAAAATAAAATCATAATACCTACAACAAAGTGTTGTAGTTTTGATTTCTGTTATTCCCAGTTTTACTAGCATAATAAACTAGCTTCTACAGAAGCTAAAAAGATATAAATAAAGGTAAACCTATTATTTAGTTGAACTATAACTGCTTAAATTTTCTGGAAATCTAATAATTTATAACAATAACTATTCTTCATGTATATTAATTAATGGCTTTTTTCAGTTTAACCAAGATTATTAGAGAGCAAGAGGACTTCAACGATCTGAGAACCAATGGCTACGTTACTCACTCTGATGGCTCCATTGTCTCATTAAGAATGGAAAAAATACAACAGGAACAAAATACACCGAATACCTAAATTGACCACTTCTGAACTGTGGAATAAAAGGGTGGTTTTTCTTTTCTTTCCATTTTATATTTTCACATTTTACTTGACTATCCAACATGGGGCATATATTATTAATTAAACAGGAAACAACATTAACATTATCAAAATGAATTTCCATACCAAAGAGACAAAATTTAGATTTGAACGTGTTTTCTTTTTAATCTTTCCTGTATTTTCAAAATTTTCTCTAATAAACATGTGTTATTTGAATGATCAAAGGGTTATCTTTAGAGATAATGTAGAATTGTACCATATTAAATAGGAAGAAAACAAAACAAATCACAAAAAAACTGCTGTGAATATATTCTTCTCTAGAATGTAGCTGTTCAAATTATGCCCCCAATAAAGTTTCCTAGGCCTGGATGGGTCCAGGAATAAGGAACAGACAGAGCCAGGCCATTAATAAGCCCCTACCTAAGGAAAAAAGGCAGAGTTTCTAAGCCAATTGACCTCTGCTCACGTGTCCAGGTATCTGTATGTATTCCTGGAGGAAACAGCTTTTAGGTCTTTAAGAGAATCACAGACATGCTGTGCAAAGAAAATTTGGAAACAATGAACCTCTGTATCTCCTGTTAGGGTCTAAATCCTCTCTAATTCTAACTTCTGATGGTGAAATCCACAAATTTTTTGTTCTAGTTTTAAAGTAACAAAAGGCTACATATACAAATAGAATTGGTTCCTTTTTAGTAATAGAAGAACAGAAACAGACCATGAGGGTGTGTGATTGTGATTCTTATAGAATTTTAATATCACAGGCATGTTAAGCAAATGTATGAAGTGTTTCAACACACCCACTATTACTGAACATTATGCACGTACTTGAATAGCCCAAATCTCTTCAGGAATTGAGGGCTTTAGACTTTCATATGCTTTTGAAATCATATTTTCCCATATGAATAACACTGAACTTGAGAGAGTTTAAATAAGCTTTTATCTAAAACTAGGCAGATCAAAATGACACTATTTCTATACCTGTTTTTCCTAACTGCAGGAAAAAAGCATGGTGATTATTTATAAGATACTGTCAGCAGTACCGAGAGAAACTGGACAATTTCACTGGGAGACACCATTCATTCAAGTAACTCCTTGGTTTCTCAGGTCTGTGCAGTGCAACTGACAACTCTTTTTCTTGATCTTTGAAAACCACATGATGGGTTGTGATGAGGGAGACTAATGACAAAGTGATTACCCTATTCAGGAAGACACCGACTACAATATAGCATTACATTAACAGAGGAGAATGGGCCTGATATTGGGCACCAGCCCTGCCTCAGGCTACCTGGATGAGCACAGGTGCCACCTGACCTCAGGGCGTGGAGGCTGTGATCTGCAGAATGAGGGTGGTGTAGTTAGCTGCTCAATGAGACTCCTTTGACTTTTAAAATTCTAATTTCTCTCCTTTTAATGGGTGATTAAAACAAGTTTCAGATCTCTTGTGTTTTCTTTGAAGAAGTCAAGTCCCGTGAAAAAATTCAACTGCTTCTTAAATCAAAAGTGTCTTTAACACAGAGCATGAAGGACAAGCTCCGTGTTCACTTTTGAAGTACTGAGGGATGTCATCCACAAAGATTCAGCTATGAGAAAACTGACATAGCTCAGACAAACTATGAAATGATTAGCATCTGTGGTGGTGAAAAGAGAATGAAGTTTAAAGGAAAGTGGAAGAAGGAAAATTGTATATTTACTTCTTCCTAATCTCAGTTCTAGAATAAGAGATAATTCAAATAATTTTTCAATTCTAAAATCCTTAATTCTGCAGTAACATGAACTACACATTTCAATGGCTAAAGAGATATTCTTATGTGCCTCCATTCAAACCTATTAAGTTGTTCTACTGGCACCCTCAGAAGAGTAGCAATGAATTTAGCAAGCTGGGAAGTGAAACCGAAATCACACAAACCCTTCGGTCCTTCATCCTTGGAGGGATGAAGGTTCCTGACCGGATCCCGGATACTGCAGTCTGTCCCTGCCCAGGTGAAATCACAGATGCAAGTGGCTTCGTTACTACACACCTGTAAAGAGGAAAGAACAGAGATGGAACAGTTTCCTGTCCTTGACAGAGTACTGATGATAAACGTGAAAGAGACGTGGGGCCAGGCAGACATGTTAGGAGCCATTTGGAGTTTTTTAAAGTCTGCCACAGTGTTAGATATCAGACAAGGGGAAACCATGTATGGGTCAGGCAGGTGAATGGTGGTTTTCCAGTTACTTAACAACAACAAAAAAGATGAAAAGGAAGACATCTTATTTTAAATGTTAATCATTCACATTGATGTTATCTAAGTACACGTCTGACAATGTATTGATAGTTTTTTCATAAGCAGTTGTTAGAAACTATATTTTAGAAATATATATGCTTAATGCAAGGAATTAATAGAGACTGGTCCCAAGAGGCACTGCCAGAGATAAAGACCAGGAGAAATAAATCACCAATGCATTGAATTACCTCACCACGTTTGACACCAAATTTCATTTGGTGGCCCTGTCCAGCCAAATGAGCACCGCTCCCACCTTCCCTGCCTGCCCAGAACAGCTCTTCTCTCAGTGGGCCAGGCTAAGGCCCTCCTAAAGTGGTCTTTGTCTCCTCTCTCGTCCTCTGAGGACCAAGCAGCAGCTGGAAGGGTCTTGAAATTTAGATAAAACACATAACCGTCTGCAAACTGCAGACAGAGGAGGTTAAACCCTCATCTGCCTGGGAAAAACATTCAGAAACAGACTCTAAGAGCAGATAAAATCAACCTTAAGCCTACCGGTATAAGAAGTGTTTTCATCTGAAATGTTATAACACTGTGATTATAATTAACAAGATCAAATGGGACTCTTTTTTTAACGAGATGAAAAAGTGGGAAGTATAGCTGAGAGTCAAGGGCCCTTTCAGTGTATTGAGTTTTATAATGCTTACAAAGCAATGACGGAGTAAGGAAAGGTTCTGCCCACTGCTTTGACTTTAATGCAGCAAGTAATGAGAATTTACTACATGCCAGGTACCTATGCTAAGTGATGTATGTACAGCAGCTCAGTTATCCTCACACTAGCACCCTGAGGAACAAGAGAGCTTGAGTGACTCGCCCAAGGTCATGGGGACAGCAAGAAGCAGAGCCAGGATTCAGACTCAGAAGGATTCCTTCTAGCCCTTGATCCATGCTCTTGATCACTAGGCTGCACAGCTTCCCTTGTGAGCCTATGGTCCAACCAAACCTGAAACTATAGTTGCTGGGCATATGCTTGTGAGGTCTTTCTACCTTGTTTATCCTACAGCACCTGCTTAGCTCTCTATATTTTCGTTCCTTTTAACCTTCATCCCAGCATCTTCCTTTTCTGTTAAGGCTCTCAGTTTCTTCATGTTTCTTTTACCCATTTCTGAGGTCTGTATAAATTCTGAAATATCTTTCACTAAGCCATGTTTAAATAATTGTTAAGATTTGTTTTTAGATATTAAGCCTAGGTTTGCCAGGTGTGTCTGCCCGAACACTTTGTTCATAGAATTAAGAATGTGCACCGGTAGAGGGAGCACCTCTTTGACCAGCAATGATACAAATATAACCACAGGACTTTAAATATGTGAATCATATCAGCCAGCCAACCTTTAGCATGGTGTGACCTTGCACACATAGATACCCAGCACACATGCTGAGTAGCTAAAAGGGAATCACTGAGAGGGTTCAACTTATTTCCAATGGTATAAGTAATCACATTGGGTTTTCACAGTTCCTTTAAAAATTATATCAGTTTTCTTCCAACTCCTTAGATGTCAAGCTGTATCTAGAGGATGTGGTGAATATAAATAGCCAGTGACAAAATAGAGCATAAAATACAGCATATCAATATGTATGTGTGTTATCGTTAGCAGATAAGGGTACTAAGGAAATAAAATCACACTCAATGCGCAGACACTGGCAACAGCCACGGAAGGAGAGTTCCTGAACTGGAAGTCCAGGTGCCGTGAACTCTGAGGATGCCAGGTAATAAAGGTCTGAACTGGAACGCTGATGCCTACTTACCCCGTGGCCTGAACAGACTTTACCCTTGGAATCGAGTGGGCAGCTACTCATATTTAGGGCCTGAATCTGTAGGCACTTCCGATCTAAACACATCATAGATGGGCCACATGGCGTTCCGTCTTCCACATAGCCCACATCTGTATCATCATCTAAAACCACGTGAGCACCACTAAAAGGAGAAAGATATTCACACGGTCATTGGCACTATACTTACAAATACAATGGCAACATGAATGAGCCTTGCTGTTAGGACTCTGAAGAGGCTGCCCTTGGATATGGATTTCTCCTAGCATTTCTCTACACTTCCTTTCCCCTTTTCCCCACCACCTCTTAATAAAAGGGCGTGACAAAAGAAAATACCTATCTTTACCTTTATCATACTACCTGTATTCAGGAAAAAATGTCACTTATACCAAGTGTGTTCTAAATCTTCACTTGTAAGACGAACATTAAGATGATAAAAGAACCAATATTATCATTCGCTCTCCAAGGCTTTCCGATGTGTCATGGTACAAAAAGGCAGATGTTGAGCAAAATTAGCAAATAAAAATATTTTGAAAATTGTCATTAGATGATTGGATTACTCGTGAATGAAAAAATAAAGTGGGTTCCTCTCTACTGATATTTACTCCTAAAATGTCAAAGTTCAAAACAACTTAAATTTGAATAATAGTCAATACACTACCCTTACTGACAGAGTACCCTGCTGACCAGTTTACAAATATACCAGTACAACAACTGATTTAATAAGGCCAGTGTATCTAGAGACATGTGAATACCTGCATATTCACAGGAAGCTTATGTGCTTCAAACTATACTTGAGGACAACAGACCTTTCCAGGGAAGGTCTCCCTGCTGAAGACCCTGTGAGAACTGCCTTTGGGGCCACGTGAAACACTGGAAAACAGCAGCCATCTGACTGAGATGGCATTATCCAGTCTGGTTGGCCAGTCAACTCACTAAATTTTGGTCAAAATTACTTTTGGATGGTTCCAGATCTTACATTCCCTCCCATAAGATGAAAGCTTGCTACTCTGAGGATACTAGGGATAAAAGTTTGCAGATGCTGAAAGCAGTTCTGTAGGAGAAATCCCCAAAGTGTTTTGAATGACAGTACCATTTGATTGAAAGCACAGCATCTTAGAATTATGACTACTTGGAATATAATATGAGTCCCTGGATTAAAAAATAAGCCTCATATTTTCTGTGTTTTGTACTCATATGTAATTGGATATCAAATGTCTGCCTACAGCTATAAATAATATTTTAACAAATATTTTCTATATGTGATGATGTATTTATTAAAGCACCTTCTAAACCAGACACATCTACACGAAGTAAATCTTAAACTCTTTTTTTTGTAATAAATAATAAAACACAGTGTTCAAACAATGACATATTCTAACGCTTAAAGATTTAATCGTGGGTCTAAGGAGATTCCATAATTCTACTCTTAAGATTATAATTACAAAGAATGCCTCACTAGTAATAACTGGCGCAATTCTTTAACAAATGTAATTTGCAAATCTAGACACAACTTTGTCTTTCTTATAGATGACTCTTAGCATGAACGGTGATGATAAAACCTCAGTCAACACTCCTCTCCTGAGAAGTAGGGAATTTCCCTTGATTTTTCTAACTTTGTATTCTCCTGATTCACTAGGTTTTCCAATCTATAATGTTACCTGCAGTCAATCACCCGGCCTTGATGATAGAAGGAAGTTGGGATGATCTCTCCCTGAAGTTGGCCAATACGTGGAGCTCGTGTAAGATTGGTGCAGAGTAGAAATCCACAGAACACATCACTAAACATGTTTTTAAAAAAGAGTAAGACAGGAGGAATTATGCTCAAAAAATCAAAACTATTCAGTCCATATACATTTAAAATATGAAAACATGTTCTTTCCTTCCAAACAGAAACACTGGTTCAGATGCTGCTGGTTGGCCATGACTCCCCTCCTTCCTGGCTGACGGGATCACACTTTTGTTTGGAGGTAGCAAACTGTTCAGTCCTGAAAGATGGCCATGACTGGTGCCTAAGCTTGTCATGCGCTTCCATTCCCTGTATCCTCTTTCGGAGCTGTCCTTCCTTCTTATCCATCTAGAGCTAAAAGTGGCTGGTGGGTGTTGAGGAGTGAGAAGAAGCTGGCTAAGAAGCTGCTTGGGAGAATTTTGCTTTCCGGACAGAAGGTCAGAGCTTGACAGGAAGATCTTCGGTTCCTACCTTGGCTTCCTGCCTTTGAATGTGAATTCGTTACATCTAACTTGTAATCATTAAGTTCACGGGCATAAAGTACAGACTCAGTATGCAACGAATTGCAGAGTGAAGGGGCAGAAATTATCTGGGTGCTGAGAAAGGAAAGAAGGGGAAGGGCCTAGTTAAAGAACAAGATTGAATGACCCATAGATATGGACAATAGAGTGGGGACCAACTGTGGGAGCTGGGGCGGGGGGTGGGGGAAGCAACAGGGAAAAAAATGGGACTTTTTTGTCAACGACAAAAAACATGGTAAAAGGATAAGATGTCCTTAAAAAGTTTTAATGTACTAAAATTTCCACAAAAAGACAAAAAGGAAAAGTAGAAGAAATCACCTGGGTGCTTAGTGACATTACTCAATGACTCATCCACCACGAGGGCTCCTACCTCCAGCCCATTTAAGTAAACAATGAATTTCTTTTAAAAAATGAGCAAAGAATTAAAGTGGTACATCACACACACAAAAGGAAATCCCCTGTCCAAAAAACACATGAAAATGTACTACATTCCAACTGTAATCAGGGAAATGCAAATTAAAACCACAATAACATAGCAGTTCACACCCACCAGAATAGATAAAAGTAAAAAGTTGGGTAATGCCCAGCACCGGTGAGAATGAAGCCCCAAATTCTCATTTACATATTACTGCTGGGAAGGTTTACTATAGGACAACCATTTAAAAAAGAAAACAGTGTGACATCACTTTGGTGGCACTGAAAACATACATCCCTATTTTATGTATAATGACAGTAATTTTTCTTATAGGCACAGGCCTTTGAAAAATGTGTCCGAGTGTGCACCAAGCTGCATGTAAAGAATGCTCACAGCAGCATGGCTCTTAATACCCAAAACACAGAAACAATCGAAACGTCCACCAACACAGACGGATGGAGAAATAAACTGTGGTGTATGGCTATGACTGTGAATGAAAGTGAAACGAGTGAGCAAAAAATGAACACTTGAAACACTGAACTTGAAAAACAAAATACGAAATAATACGGAAAGTATGATTCCTTTTATATAAACTTACCAAAACTTTTAGCAAAAACACTTTGTCAATTGTTCACAAAATGAACGAAAATGGTATTTTACTTAGAATGGTCCCCCCAAATATGCACAGTCTATATGTGTTGCTTATAGAACTGTGTACACACTAGACCATGCATAGGACCTATCTTGTAGCAACAGCACCCAATTAAAACCCAGTATTAGTTTGTAATACCGTGGCCAAGCATCTCTTCCAAACAAACAGCAAGTAAAATACAGCATGTGAGAAATTTCCTGAGTTTTACAGAAATGGTGAGTCCATGCCATAGAAACAGTTTAGTCTGTGGCCATTACCCACATATTCTTTAAATGTACGCTTTAAAATTTAAAATACTGAACACTGACTTACGAATCAGTCCCATTTACTTTGGGCCCAGTTCACACTGGAAGCAGGGCCTCCCTGCCCACTCCGCGGGCCCCACGGCCGGCCACTCACTGTTTGCTGCACTGGATCCACCGGTCTCCATCCTTCCCACAGTTCCCCTTCTCTGTGCCTTCTGTGTTCAGCTTCTCGTAACAGAACTTGTCAGACCCTGAAGCCTCTTTTGGAGATGAGCGAGAGAAGAAATTTATTTTAGATATCTTTATTATTGATAAATAAACAAATAAATGAAGAGAACTATATTATAGTTCTCTAAACAAAGTAGTTCTCTTTATTATACCAGTGACACGCCAGTAAATGTTTGACAACTAATTATTTAGAAAAAAATCTTAATTTGCAGTACTGACCCATTTTTCCATGGTATAAAAATCATTATGTAACGTTCCATGGTGCAATACATGGTGAATTTCAAGGTATCAGTGTGATGTTGACTGGCTTCTAAAATTCCTGAAATTTTAACAGATGGCTTTCCCAAGCTAATACAAGGTCACTCCAACACACCACTACTTTTAACTTGAGAGTCAAATGCATTCCCAATTTTTGCTGGTGAGTTTGAGGGTAGGAAGTAGCAATGATCACCAGTAGAAATTAGTCAAGTGATACATAGAAACCTAATAAACATTTGTAGTGTTGTTTTATATTAAATTAAGAGATACTATAAAGTCTTAGCCAACCGACATTTTACACTGGCACCTGGGTGTCTATATTTAAACCTTTGAAAAGAAATATGTCTCTACTATCCTTCCTCTGTCAAAACTGAAGCACCAAGAGTAAATCTTTTACTTAAATGATACTGGCCAAGCACTTATGCATGGGATCTATTCTCCTTTTGTGTACTTTTTGTTTCTTTGGAGGTGACCCAGCCTCAACCATACAGCAGACCCATTTCTCTCTCTACTGGTCTGGCCCTCATGAACTGGAGTTCACTGGAGAGGCACTGCCAATGTCAGGAAGATGGTACATATTAACATTCCCAGAACGTCCTGAGAATCACGGCCATGCACCCAAATCTCTACCTGCCTGCACTTCAGGCATCCCCTGTGTTTCTTCACTTCACACTGAGGCTAACAGATTGCAGAATTTAAAAAAGTAAGAGCTAGAATTTTCCTGGGGCAAAAGAACAGAAAGCTACTTTTGGCGGGTAACTGTTAAATCCAGAATACAAAATAAACTATGCAAAAGGCTGGGTAATGAACGTAACCATTGCACTCAACCCAGTCTTTCCAAGTGGATGCACTATCCCTTCTCTTACAGGCACAAGCAATGAACGACACTGTTCAGTTCTGATGACCAGTTGCTAACTTCGGCAGTTGTTACTGGTGGTTCTGGGACTAAGATTTACAGTTCTCTTTACATCCTTTTGCAGATTTTTAAAAATAAAACATCACTCCAAACTATACATCTCTTTCAGCAAGACTGGCAGAAAAGAACAATACGAAGAGAAGACTGTGGGTAACTGTCAACAGGAAAACGCAACCTACTCGTTCCCCAGATGTACTGACACTGGTTGTCCCGGGTCTTGCACTCCCCACTGTAACAGCGGCCCTGGGGACAGGGACACACACGTTAGCAGGCACACGGAGACACTTCTGTTTCCTTCCCCCACAATTTTTAAAGTGAAAATGAGAATCACAAACATCTTAGGACAAGCGCAAGCCTAACAGGCAGTTAAAATGTAAAACTCAGAACGGACCTCATAGTACAGCTCTTTAACTCTAACTTAATCATCTAAAATTTTAAATGTTATGGTAAACAAAAGCTGGTATACTTCTTTGGATGCTACCAAAACCATGCTCAGCTTCTTTTGTTTGTGAATAGTTAGGTTATCACATGGCTTTAGGGAGGAAAAAACACATTATAACAGATTGTCATATTTTTCATAATAAACACACTGAAGTTCTTGAAAGATAGTCACAACTCAATAAATTAGATTCCTAATTCTTGCCCTTAAATCTGGACAATTTATCATCAGATTTAAATATAATATAGTTAGCATTTGGTACGATACAAAGCAACTCTGTGTTAGACCACTCTAATAATTTACTATTGTTTGAGCTGTAATTTCCTTTCAAAAATTTCATGTATTTTAAAAGACCCTTGTAAACAAATCCTTTTAAAATCACATTTAAAATGAATATGCCAGCATACCTGATTTTGATTACATGCGTATCCATCTTGTTTATGAAGGTTTGGTGGGCACTGAAAAATACAATATTTTTAGTTAATGTTCATTATGTTAAATACCTTCTGGTTATATGCATAATATATAAGAAAAGCAAACAAGTTCAAGCATGGTGAATATATAATTAGAAGTGTTTGGGAAAAAGATGAGTAACTCCTTAAGTAGATTATTCCAAATTAATTCTCCCATTATAGGTAAAAACTAATAAATTAGGTCCACAGTTGGTGCTTTTTTATGCCTCTCTGTTTTCCATGACGCAGACCGGAATGATAACTTATGTTCACTTGCCTACAGAGATAAAGGCAGAGGCATTAAAATGGACAATGAAGGGATATGAATCAGCTGGTTATGTAGGAGCAGACACATTCAGGGGCTAATTTATAGGCTGGCTCAGCTCTGTGGAAGATGTCAAATCTGCATTTGACACCCACAATGCTCACCTATAGGCAACATTATTGAAGAAAGAAAGAAAAAGAGAGAGAAAGAAAAAGAGAGAGAAAGAAAAGAAGGAAGGAAGATCCTCCCTTCAAGTCAGTGTAAGTGCCGTATCTCCATCACACTTCTGACCTCTCAAACCACAGACCTGTTACTAGAACAATCCTGACGTGATGGGTATTTCTTTTGCCAGGTCTATTTATCAAATACTAATTTAAAAGTACACTTCATTTTCGCCCCAATTGACCCTGAATACATTAAGTGTTTATTCTCTGTGCATTTCATTTGCCACATTTAAGTCAGCTAAAAAAAAAAGTTCAAGCCGAAGTCTCTACTACAATGTTCAAAGAAAATACGAAAAGGGGAAAAACACACGCACACAGACGTGGCAAGTAAGAAACACAGTAACATGCACTGAGGTCCTCCCTCAGTTTTCTGTCACCTCCTCAGGAAAGGACAGTTGCACTTTTTCAATTATGCAGGCCCCAAATAATTGGATTCATCCTTTATTTCTCCCTTTCCAGTCGGAACACTTTGAGATAAAATGCTTGAGTTCTACCTCTTTCTACAGAATATCCGACTCTGTTATAAGCAGTCATTCACTACAGCTTTTCATTCAACCTGATGGTGACTATTCAAAGAATATAATCATCAGCACTAAACCCTGGCATACTGAGCCAACTACACAAAAACAGAGATCCCTGTGGTCTCTTTCATCCATCCAAATCCACTCAAAACACAGTCATTATCTTATTAATCACTAACATTAATTATTCACTGACTCCAAGACAAATACAACCGCATGGAACAAAAGCGAACAAGAAATGCTGCTACCACAATAGGCACGTCAGGGTCTAAAATTAATTTGTCGTGTTTGGTCTTTTGTGATGGTTCAATAAGAAAGGACTCATAGAATTCCTTACCAATGAAAAATTCTGTACCTTATTACAAGCTGTCACAGCTACATGCAAGATTTCTAATCAATTTAGTTTTAGTTTGGGCTAATAAAAGCCAGTGATTTGTCGTTGGAACATTTAACAAGGGAAATTAGGGAATGTTTTATGGTCTCAGGAGACATTTAAAAGAGGAGAACCATAAATCTGGGTACTTTATTCTGCCTGCACAGTAACAGGCCTGTGAGCACAGCTCGAGATGACTCCTCCAAAGGCCACCCCAACCCCACTTCCGTGCCGTACAAGACGGTTCCCATGAGGGAGACTTCAGTGAGATAGCAGTTAAATGGGCTTATTTTAAGTCGTGTTCTACTACCTATTGACATGACATATCTCAGCTGGGCGAGTATAGCTTATTCCATTATAAACTGTGAAGTTTAAAAGAACCTCAAAGCCAGCAGTTGATGCTAATACCAAAATTAAGCAAAAACATACTCTGAGATAAAAGAGATACAGTCATAATGTCGCCAATCATACTGATTTCTCAGAGATGCAGAAATTCTCAGAGATCACATTTTCTTAATCAGTATTAGGATGGATTAAATTCAAAGTTCATTGCGCCTCACAAAGCCAAAGAACTAGAAGGTGCCTCAATCCCTCTTTGCCAATTACCTATTTCAGGCTCCATCCTGTCATTTAAGGAAATTATTACTAAGAAAACATGCTATTCTAATAAGCCACTGAGGAATTAATAATGCAGTTTTTACTTTAGACATATGAGATAAAAAATAACATTTAAAAAAACTTAGACAATAGAATATCTGGTTGAACACTGAGCTCTCATTATAAAAGCCCTGTTTGTAGGGAATGCTATGACAATTCAGGAGTTAAAGGGTGAAATGGAAATATTATACTTCTAAAAGAGCTGAAGAGACAGGACCAAAACAATGTATGATGGGTATAAAAATAGTATTATTCTATAAAGTTAAAAATATAACTCAGGGAAATGTGTATCAGGAATGCCAGAATACTTGACATAAAACAAAGAATCCACATAATTCTTACACTTTGCCACTACACTGTAACACATTTACAAAGAAACCTATTTACATGTTTAAATATAAGAAACAGATACACATAAAAAATCACAAAAGAACATCCTGAACACATGTCAACTGTACCATATCCTCACAAGGGCCCGTGAGGACTGAGTTCCAGATGATGTATATCAAGAACTTTCAAAGAGGTCACTTGGAACCTTTCTTTCCCTCTGCTCTTGTCCTTCCAGGGAAGGAAACTCAGTGTAACTCCGGCTCCTCTCAGGTCCCTCACTCAGGTCTTTCCCAGGCAGGTAGAGGAGTTGACTAGTTGATATACTTGGGAAGAACAATGGCATTCCAGCTCTGGTCTGCTACTCCTCTCTTGCCCACTCCCATAAATCATACTCTCTAGCTCCTCCATGACATACAAGCCAAGGGCCAGGCATTGCGGAAAGAAGTCAGCCCAGACCAACTCTGTCAGTAACCTGTTGCTATAGCCTGAATCTGGGATCTATAAAGAGGGCCATTTAGCCCTCACACTAAGCCATGGCTTTAACTTGGACATTTTCAATAATAAAAATGATATACTGGCCTCCATTTCTACTCTACTTATTGATAGCCTCTTAGAAACAACACAATCTGGCCATAGGTAACTCCACTCCTAGGAACCTATCCTAATTAGCTGACCTTGAACAAGAAACACTCTTAAAATGCATAAAGGTATCTCTGCCGTATTAATTATCATAATAAAAAGTTGCCAACAATCTACATATCCATTGCTGGATACAAAAGTCAACTAATATACACGAGAGATTCATGCAATCATAAAAATGATATTTGTGTAATAAATGGTTAGTGATATAGGAAATACTTTTTAAGTAACGTCAGAATGAATAGGAAGGTAAAATAAAATCCAGAATTCTTGCCAAGTTTCTACCTGTCCTGATTCCTGACTTTCCCTCTGAGTTGTTCTTGCTATTCTTTCACTGAAAGCTCTGCTTTCATTGCATTTCTTGAAGAAGTCAAGCTTCCGTACCTGCTCTTTGCTGCCCAGCTCCCTCCGATCTGCGTTTCTGCTTAAATGCCAGCTCCTCCAAAACCACACACCTGACCACCCCACCAAAAGCTCCCACTCCACCACTGTTTTCACATCACCTCGTTTTATGCTTAGCTTTTAGCCCCGTCTGATATTTTGTTCATTTTTTCTCCACACAGCAGAACAGAAGCACCAGAAGAGCAAGGGTTTGTCCATCTCTATTCCTGCCACATCCCAGTATTTACAGTAGTATGTGACACACAGTAGGTGCTCAAGAAATGTTCATTTGGATGACAAATTAAGGCTTTAAATAACATGACATTAATTTTTAAAGCCATAAAAAAGTATGCGCTGGCTGGCGTAGCTCAGTGGATTGAGTGCAGGCTGCGAACCAAAGTGTCACTGGTTCGATTCCCAGTCAGGGCACATGCCTGGGTTGCAGGCCAGGTGCCCAGTGGGGGGCATGTGAGAGGCAATTACACACTGATGTTTCTCTGTCTCTCTTTCTCCTTCCCTTCCTCTCTCTCTAAAAATAAATAAAAAATTTAAAAAGTACATAAATAAGGAAGGTTAGATGTCAACATTAATTATAATGTTACAGTAATTTTGACGTGAGGAAGATCATGCCACAGCCTGTGAACTGGGAAGCTGGGCTTCGTAAGCAGGGGCTGAGAAAGGAGGCTCCGCCCCCAGCCCCCGCTCCGCCCCCAGCCCCGCTCCGCCCGGAGCAGTGCTGCTTGTTTCCTGCTTTCCCTGCTGGGCCTCCATCCAAAATCTTGTTTTTAAAAAGGGTTTTGTGGCTTAAGAATGATTGGAAACAGTACATTAGTGCTTCATTAGTGTTTTAGATGTGGGGACCAGGAAAGAAAAATCAATTAGTTGGGTATAAACCATATAAAGGGAACTAATTATGAAAAGGAAACTTGGAAGAAAAAGATATTTAGATCCAAAAATCACAACAAATGTTCTTAAAATAAAGGCAGGGTGGAGAACTGGAAATTACTACAAAACAAAGCAAAACAAAGCAGAGGAGCCCAAGCATATTTGCACGTGGGATCCAAATGCAAAGCTGTAGGAGGTACCGAGAACTCAGACTGCCGTACCTGGCCAGAGTCCCCGGTACAGTACTCGGTGATGTCACACCCATTCACAGCATCCCGACACTCATACCCTCTTGGCTGGAACTGCAAATCAAAATTCAGCATTAGGAGCTAGTACCAGTTAATATTTCAAAGAGTTAGCATTCTGATGCTCACCTATAATTTTGATATTCTCTCACAACTATAACCAAACTCCTTGTATGAATTAGCAAGATGGTTGCAGAATAGAAGCAAGGCCCGGTTACCGCTCTCAGCAGTAAATATGAATCATTAGCCAAGGCAGTGAATGTTTGGATTTCACAACCCACTGTCTCCAAGTATCAGTTGTAAAACACAATGTGACAGCAATTATGCAAAGATGAAACACTGGTGTGTCTTAAGACAGAACAACACTAAAATATAAACATTTAGGATTTCTCTGAAGATTTGTGTACATGCCCAATGTCCACTAATTAATGATGATCTTGGACATTAATCTTGCTTTAGCTAAATATACACAATCAAATTTCAGTGGTTCCCTTTGGTAACACCAGTGAACGCCTTCTGTATACAAGGCATTTTGTTTGTCTGAGAAGGGGTAAGTAAAAGATGCACTAAAAAGCCCATTACCTTCAACAATTTATAATCTGGATATAAGGTGAGTATAAGCGAAGCTAAAATCTTTTAGAATACCGTAATATTTAATACCCATTAATACTGCATAAAATAATCAAAACTGTGTAGTTTTATGGGTAAAAGTAATATTAGATGTTTTTACAGATGAGGAATGGGAAGACTCAAAAAAATGGCTTTTCAAAATTAACTGGTTGCTATGGATGGAAGGAACTATGTGCCCATACACAAACAAACACACATTCATACAGTACTTTCTTATGCAAATTTTTTGTCTTTATAGGGGATTTAAAGAGTTAAATGTATGAAATGTGAGCACTAGCTTTTACGCTCGGGGTCTAAAATGAAAAGACCACAGAAACCGTCTCTCTTCTATTCAACCACTTAACCTGCTCTTCACCCGCATTAATAGGGCAACTGGCAATGTCTATTTTGATAGAAGTATGAATGTATTTTGAAGGAGACCTTGGAGGGTAGGATGGTTGACAGTGAATTACAGTAAAGGTAAATGTTGTTGCCCACAGAATTTGGGTAGATTTATTGATTTTACAACATTGCCACGCACCCTGTCAACCAACCAATTTGTGGCAAACTATACACATGTTCAATGTGTACACTGGGATGTTCAGCTAATATGGCAATGAAAAGAAAGATGAAACTATCAGGAAACTCACCAGACACGAGGTATTGTTGCAGCAGGGCCCGTCGCTGCAGTGGGCCCCATTGGAGAGAGAGCATTTCTTACAGCACAATCCATAGCATTCCTAGAAAAAACACTTCCCATAAGTAAGTGAGGAAGCTTACCCACTGTCACTCAGCATTCTCTCCACATCTGACTTGTACATAATCCAGACAAGGAGATTATACTACAGTAAAAAAGTACTTTAGGAAAGAAACAATCACTTAAACAATGATAGATTTCCTTCCTGCCATACTTCGCAACGAAGTATGATCTTCTATGAAAGGGCTTCTCTACCAAAAAAGACAGCTTATTTCATAGCAGGTACCCCACCCTTGCATAGCTCTATTACATTCTTCACACTCAATGTAGTTTTATAAAGACAAAAAATACACAACACAGAAATAGAAATGTGAGCTATGAATTTTTAAGAGGTGGGGAATTTGATTAGAAGGCCCTATTAGGTTTTTTCAGATGGGGCCGAAAGGACATGACTAATTCTAAAGGGCCTGAACTGGGATGAAGCACTGAAGGGCAAGATCAGAAAGAAAGGCAGCGCGAGACCACAGCCAACGACAGTGCAGGCTTCTCACTAATGTTATCCATCGTTGCTCTGGGTGGGAGCTGCGCTGCAGGGAAAAACGAACCCTGATACCTACCACGTGGAAACCACAGTCACACTCCTCCCCAGCTTCTACATATCCATTGCCACACTCCGTGGGCTCAAATAGCTGAAAGAGATTAGGGAGAGAAAAGGAAAACATTTTAATTGATCACAGAAAATCAGCACACCAATAGGGCCCTTCAGTCAGCTGTCACATGATATTCTGGGATCTCTTGGAACGGCATCTTATAAATGTGTCTGTGTGGGAAGTGCTGTTCACTTATTAATAACGTTCTAAAAACCATGTTTTAAATGGGGTAATATCTCTTGGCGACTCTCTGGTGGTGGGCTCCTGAGATGACCTCCACCATTACTGCTACTTTTTATGGAGATAAGCTGTCAGGAAGAATAGATCATTTCTCATATTTGCTAATGGAGCTAAGATGCATTGCTAATAAGACTCACGTATCTAATTTGCTGACTTATCTCGAGGAAGCTGAGAAGACATCAAAATTGTCAAAAAGATAAAAATGCTTCAGGTACAGCCAAATGTAATAGGTACCATCAAGTTAATACAAATAAGCTTAGAAAAAGGTGTGGCTGGAAATCCACATCCATCATTCTCATTGAAAATAAATCTATAGTGCCTGAAGCATATTAAACACACGTGCAGACATATGCATGAATATATAGAAATCTCTCAGTCATTCCTGGAACAATGGAAGAGTCGAATGTCTAGAATAATCCACCCTTGGGTGCTATGAATTTGCTTGCCAGATAAACTTTATTTCGACAAAATGTGGAGGCAGTTGATTGTTTATGGGAAACAGTCATATTTCCCTTAACCCGAAGCAAGATTTCTCTAAGCATGTCCACCACACACCTGGGTGAAGACTGAAACAGCACATCCCAACCCAAATCCTTAGAGGCATGAGTATGAGAGGGAGAAAGAGACTCCTTCCGCAGCAACATCACACACCCCAGGAAGGGGTGAGTTCCACTGAGTACCTGAGAAAGATCCAACCCTCCTTCCACTTCCAGTAAGGAGAACTACTATAAGAAACAAGGAAAGATGTAGGTACACATAGCTCACCTTCTTACACAACCACAGCAAAAATTACAATTAAACTATAGATCAACTATCCCCAGAATCATCAGAAAATCAAGCTATATGGAAGTCTGACAACCAAGGAATTAAAGAAGTCACATTCATCCAGATGAGTAGGGAGTTAGGAGGGTTGGAGATGCATGGAGACACGTGGAGATGCAAAGATGTGGAGATGCAGAACAGGAGGTCCCACACCCACATGCGATGGATAAAAATCAGGAGAGATGAGATACCTTGGGAGTGAGGGATCCAAGCCCGGCATCAGACCACCCAGCCCAGGGTTCCAGTGCCAGAAAGATAAATTCCCATAACTTTTGGCAGTAAAAACCAGTGGGGCTTGGGGCGGTGGAGGAAACCGAATGATTCTCAGGCATCTACTCTTAAACGGCTTGCAACAGACTTAGGACTTAGGCAGACTCACTCCCTCTGGGCTCCAGCAGCATACAGGGAGACACTGAAGTGTCTGGCATCAGGGCAAGTGCTGGGAGACAGCTTCCTATTGGACAAAACCCCAGAAGCCAGGCAGCAGCTTTGTCTCCTTTCTGAGTTCTCCCCCAAATAGAGCCACAGCAGGGCGATACCATATCAGAGATTCCATCAACCCGGTTCACATGGGTTGCCCCATCCTGGCAATTACCTAAGGGTCTACCCCATCCACAGTACTGATGTGCTTTTCTACAATAGGCCACACTACTAAGACAGGGAGTCAAAGCAGCTCTACCTAATACATAGAAACAAAAACAGGGAGGCTGCTAAAATGAAGTGATGAAGAAATAGGATCCAAGTGAAAAGAATAGAACAAAACTCCAGAAAAGGAACTAAACAAAATAGAGATGAGCAATCTATCAGATGCAAAGTTCAAAACACTGGTTATCGGGATGCTCAAGGAACACACTGGGTACTTCAAAAGCATAAAAAAAAAAACCCAGGTAAAAATGAAGGTTACACTAAGTGAAATAAAGAAAATTTTACAGGGAACCAACAGTGGAGGGGATGAAGCCGATAATCAAATCAATGATTTGAAACATAAAGAAGTAAACAACACTCGATCAGAACAGAAAGAAGAAAAAAGGATCCAGAAAAACAAGGACAGGCTAAGGAGCCACTAGGACAACTTCAAAAGTACCAACACTTGAATCATAGGAATTTCAGAAGGAGAAGAGAAAGAGCAAAAATTTGAAAACTTACTTGAAAAAATAATGAAAGAAAACTTCCCTAATTTGGTGAAGGAAATAGACATACAAGTCCAGGAAGCACAGAGAATCCCAAACAAGATGGATGCAAAGAGGATCACACCAAGACACATCATGATTAAAATGCCAAAGGTTAAAGATAAAGAGAGAACCTTAAAAGCAGAAAGAGAAAAGCAGAGAGTTACCTACAAAGGAGTTCCCATAAGGCTATTAGCTAGTTTCTCAAAAGAAATGTGCAGGTTAGAAGGGATTGGCAAAAAGTATTCAAAGTGATGAAAAGCAAGGACCTATAGCCTAGATTACTCTATCCAGTAAAGCTACCATTTAGAATCTAAGGGTAGATAAAGTGCTTCCCAGACAAGGTAGAGCTAAAGGAGTTCATCATCGCCAAGCCATTATTATATGAAATGTTAAAGAGACCTATTTAAGAAAAAGGTCAAAACTATGAACATTAAAGTGGCAATAAACTCACAACTATCAATAACTGAATCTGAAAAAACAAACTAACAAAAAAGCAGAACAGAAACAGAATCATAGATATGGAGCTCATTTGGAGGGTTATCGACTAGGAGGAGGAAGAGGGAGAACAGGGGAAAGGTGCAGGGATTAAGAAGTACAAATTGGTAGGGACAGAATAGACAGGGGGAGGCTAAGAACAGTATAGGAAATGCAGTAGCTAAAGAACCTATATGCACCACCCATGGACATGAGCTAAGGGTGGAAAAGTACCAGAGGGAATGGAGGGCCCTGGGTGGAGGGGGCAAAAAGACAAAAATTGGGACAACTGTAATAGCATAATCAATAAAATATATTTAAAAAAAGAAACAAAGAAGGTCTCCAGGAAAGTTGGCTGGGACTCTTCTGTAAGAAAGTCCAAAGGTCCTGTATCTGCCATATTTTGATCAGCAAGCAGGAGAAAATGGAAATGGGAAGGGCAGACTGGAACATGATTGGTGCTTTACATCAGGCAGCCCACGTGGAAAACATGGTTGTTGGGAAGGTTCCCACAGCGCAGAAAAGATGCACATAAGTAATGTAAAAACACATAAAACACACATGCATGCAACCTAACTAACAATACTTGAAAAAAATCTGTCCTTCATTACATACATATAAATTCTTTCACTGGAATACAAGGGGGCTTTTAAAAAAATCTGCTATGCAATTTTATATTTACTAACTTTTAAAATTGAAGGGGTATAGTTATTTTCATTAGTTGCCAAGTTATTAAAATAATTTCTTTCCGTACACAGGCAATGTTAGAAATCTAACAATGGATCCCTATATGCACACTCAAAATCTTAACTTTTGCAAACAACTCAGTGTCATTTCCTTCAGTGTGGTGCTTATAATTAGTTGGTAAGCTGCAAGGCAGATACAGTTAGCCATGTACATTGCAACTCAAAAATACCAGTCGCTGACATTAATTCATCATTACTCATTACATCCATTTTGAATACTCCGGAGTTTTCAGGTTTCTGTCGTATTGAGATGAATGCCATAAAAGGCAGGCAGCCAAGTTTAACGATGCAAGTTTACTTTAAAATTCCTGTTTGTTTTTATGCAGCCCCACTGAGAATTTATATGGCAGGCATCAAACTGCCGTCCCCCGACCACAGCAGAATCACTGAGTTATGGGGCGGGAACAAATTATTCTGTCAGTCATCCACATTAGTCACTGATTTTTAAAAAAGGCTGACATGATTGTGCTGCTCTCTCAAGTTGCAGAGTATTAAAACATTGTGTATAGCAACAAACTATTTTTGACTTATGAGGTAGTATTTTGAAAGGAAATACGAAATGTGCGAAGTTAGAATCTCAATACCATCTGCTAACTAGCATTGACCCTGCGTTTTTGCCTGTGGGGCAACGTCCTCCAAACATCTCACTACAGGCTTACAGGCCCTTATCCAAAAGCTGGATAGCTGGGGAATTTCAGAATTCTGGCTTTTCTGAATTTTAGAAAAGTACGATGCATTTACCACGTTCCATGTAAGAGCCCCAAGTGGACTGACGCATGCCCTATAATCAAAGACATTAACATGTCCAATGGGTCTTCTACAGACTCATAAGAAACTCTTCTAACTTTCAGAGCTTTTTGAATGAGGGATTCTTAGATAAGGGATTGTGACACTGTGCATGTGAACTGTGATGAAATGTCAATTAACAATATGGACCTTCTCAAATAGAAACTGTGTAGTATAAATACATATGTGTACTTATGGGATCGGAAAACACTTTGGGCCATTTTTTGGCTAGCTGATATTAGAAATGCCTTTTTTCTGGGAGAACAGACCACTGAAAAAGGAAGAAGGAAGGAAAAAAGGAAGGGAGGGAAGGGAAAGGAGGGGAGGGAGGTCAATAGATAGAGGGATGCAGGCTAAGACTTTAGTTATACCCCTAGAGAGAATGGTAAGGGCAAATGGAATCTCCGTCAGAGGGATAAGTTGAAGTAATCTATCTTAACCCAACCCACTATTTCTTAGCAGCAGCATGAAAACCCTCGCATGAAAATTTCAAAGACATTTTAAAAGATTACTTATTTTGGTGGGGGGAGGGTCATAGCTGGCACTGAAAAACCAGAGACTCAGAGCAGGGAAACTACAGTTTGGTCATTTATTTAAACAAGTCTCAGTCTTCAACAGGATAAAGCCTTTGATAACTAAATGCTAATCTGCTTGACAACAAACTTGCTCTCCAAGAGAGGTATCTGATATTTGGCACTCTTCTGTTATTAAAAAAATACAGAAATAACTACGCATTCTAAGTTACTGACCTTTGTTGGCCTATTGAAAAGGCAGGCTCCACCCCCTCTCTGTAAGAAGTCTCTATACTCCAAAATGCTGCACTTGGAGAACTTTCGGGAATGGGAAACCCTGAGGAAATAAAGAATCAATGATGCAAAAAACTTCCCAAAAACAGACACCAGAGAAGAAAACTAAAACCCTAGAATTAGAACAAAATATTCACTATGGACCCAGATGATTTTACACAGTTTTTGACAAGGCACTTTATTTTCAAATAGCCAAGTAATACGTGTGATAAGAGTTTATAAAACAAAATTCAAAGAAAATCGCAGATTTGGGGGCAAGGTCAGAACCTGCTCAGCATTCAAGCCCTTTGTTGCCTGGGCTTGAAGGAGTTTTTGAAAAGCTCATGACATAATTTGCTCATCTAGGCGGTATTTTGAAATGAGGTCATTTTTATTTGCTCTTTCTCAGTAAAGGCAAGTACTTTTTGCCTCCGTCCTGAGTAAAAAGAGTTCAGGAACCCACTAGATTTTATTTTGAGAAGGGAGTTGAAATGGTCAATTTATTAAAGATTATATAATACAAGCTTCAGCAAAACAATATGGGTAAACGAGGGAACCCTAAAAAGATGTTAGAACACACACATATGTTTTTAGTGTGCATATACGCAACAGAATTATGGCAAACTCCTATGAATAACAGCTTCTTATTCTCAACCACAAATACTACTATTGGGTGACATCCATGATTTAGTAGGACTGCAACATGAGCCTCTCTACGATTTAAGTGATCAAATTACTATCTCTACGTCAGTCAGTACCTGCAGGAATGCTGTACGCACACTCAAGGTTAAATAAAAGCACAGAACTTGATTCCTTGAGCATATCTGCAATTGTACTTAATCTGAGATTTGCAAGGCCACTTATGCTAGGGTATGGTCTAATATTTACATATCCCGATATGTGAGGGTGGTGTATGGAAGGAGGCAAAATCTGCCACTGTTGACCGTGATCTCTTAGGAGAACTACACAGAAACATATACTTGAGAAAATATATATTAACTGTGAATTGTTTTATCATACCCTAATTTTAGTCAGCCCAAAAATTCATTGAAAGGGGGTCAAATATACAGTGATGGAAAATGATTTGACTTTAGATGGTGGGCGCACAGTGCAATATGAAGGTCATGTATTATAAAAATTTATATTTGAACCTTATATAATCTTATCAACCAATGTCACCCCAATACATTTAATAAAAATTTCATTTAGAAATTAGGAGTTTAGAAGACATCCCTTTGTGGAACCAATGTTGAAAATGGCATTAAGTCCCTATAGCAGTTCTCAAAAAAGCCTTTGTAAGGCCATAGTGATACTGAACTATGGTGCAGAGGCAAGGGGGCCACGGAATCTAACAGTTTCAAGTTTAAACTACATTTCTAAAGCCATGTGTTCTCAAGTAGCAGGTAGCATGGTTGACTCTCTCTGCAAACCCTCATGCTCACACTCCCGATGTCCTGTGAGCTGGTGGAAGAATAAGGGAGGGACTCTGTACAGCAAGTTAGGGTTTCTGGCCACCGGGGCTCTGGTACTAGCAAAGGCTAACAGATTGAGCAGATGTCAGGCACTGACAAAGGAAGTCAGAGAGGCACAAGGGTAAGGAACCTCTCCCATCTACGAGGAGAGGGCTCTAGCTTAGGCAGCTTTGGGGCAGTGGTTCCCCAGGACAGGGGTCCTTGGGAAAGAGGGCAGTGTTTCCAGGCCTTAGTTCACAGAAGTAACGGCAGCTCCAGGGCAGCTGCTCTAGTGCCCAAAGTATCCACGAGAGGAGAGAGGAGAGAGGTGAGGAAATGTTCAACATCTATCAGGAGAAGACTACCTAATTTAGACACAATAAATCTGTCTTTAAAAAAGCATTGATTATATAAGCAGTGTAGTACAATTTTTATTGCAGCAACATGTCTATTTGTGAGTTCCTTAAAAAATGAATTGACGACGAAATTGATTTTCACTGACTGCTTTAGGTAGACAACCAGCTTTCATTCTAAGTGCACTAAAAAATTAATGACTCTATTAAACTTAGAAGCATTTAATACTGTGCTATCTTTAAGGGTTCATAGAAATAGAAGTAGTTACTATATTTTACACGTACCATCAACTTTAAATACAAAGTTAAAATATAAAGTAAATGAGTCCTTTCGCTTTTAAAATATCAGATCATTAATTATTGAATTTATCCTAAGTGCTTAGACTAAAAAACCAGTACCTGAGAGACGGTGCATCTAATTATATGCAGCGCTCTGAGCAGAACCCATTGATCAGACACGTGTATGATGAAAACTTACCCTGTCTCTTCCATTATGCAGCCACCCCAGGACTCTGTGCAGTCACATTCTAGTCCGAGGACACCATTACAGCAACAGAAGAAAAGGGAGACAACAGAAATCACGTCTTTCATTCTCATCACAGCTTCTAAATAATTTCTTACGACTAATTCCATGTCATAGCTACAGAAGGTGACGTCTCACTGGACAAATTCGACTTCTTTAAATCAGTATTTCTTTATTCTTTGCAGAAGTGCAGGTTGCTTCCTTAGACAACAGCTGGCAAGAAATACAGTCATGCCTCTCCTCGTTTTTGTAAGTGAGAGAACTCAATTAAGTTCCTGGGTCAGAACCTGCTGGTCCAGGAGGCTTCTTCTCTATGCTTCTAGTTGGACTAGTAGATGAGTTTCACTGGAGGTAGGTAGGCGGGTAAGTTGCATTTGAGCTGCTTTTTGACTCTAGATCTAAGCTCCCTCCTGATAGAATTGCACTCTTATTAAAGTTGTGAAAGAGCCTCGCCCGCATCGTGTGTCCACACTCGGGTGGTTAGAGTCCAGAGTGTGAGTACTGTCACCCACCACTGCACAGTACGAGAAGGCTGGTGGCACTCTGAGTAAGTATGATGTTAGGGATTTTGAAAAAAGGACATTTCTACAACCCAAACATACCAAGAATTACCTTAAGTTGCTCATCTTACATTTTTTTAGAGGAAAGAGATATACTGCAATTAAACTACAATGACTTAGAAATGAAGGACTATGTTTTAGTATCTATTTTTATTTTTTATTATTGTTCAAGGGCAGGCATCTCCATTTTCCTACTACCACTTTTCCCCGCCCCTCCCACGTGTTAACTGACTGGACATGCATCGCACAGACAGAATGGCATGTGAAAGTGAGTAAGAAGGTCAGTGTACATACTTGGCTTTCTGCTAGAAGGTTCCCATTGGATTCCAAGGTTTTGAGCCAGGCTCTGCGATAATACTTGTGCCACTGCCATTGGAAGACCATACTGTTTTTCAGAGTTGAAAGTGTGTGGGAAACATTTGAGAGAGTGCACAAAGCTAGTTATTATTTCTTAATCATTACCTCCTCACATCTCAGTTCCCTAAGTAAAGCCTCATAGCATCAAAACGCAGTACACGCTCCTTCCTCATTTCCTCCTTACAACAGGGCCCAAGAAGCAGAAAGCCTCTGTTAGCACATGGCGTCTATCAGCATTCATGCTCTCCCATGGAATCATAACATACAAGTCCTCAAAGGCTGTGCCCCAACACGACTCATAGCAAATCAGGAACACAACTAACTACGAGTTTGTCAAGACAGGTCTCCACTGAAGGTGGTTATGGGGACAACCTGGTGCATTCCACTAGTGATCAGGGTTTGCAAATAGTTGGGTCCGGCTTTCTGAGTGCTGTTGCCAACTGTTATAAGAATTTTTTTATATAAACAAAGGTACTGAAATCTGAACAGTGAGATTAAGGAAATCATTGTTTCAATTAATTCTACAATTAGGTAAGTAGAAGGCATAAAGGTAAAAAATTTACATAGGGAGAAAACAAAGGTACTGATTAGATACTATCACAAACTCTGATAGAAATGAGTTAAACCTAATGTGGGCAAAGGAGCATTATAACTTTCAAAAATGTGATAAGGGAAAGATTAATAAGCTTGTACGAATTTATCCACAGATGCCAAAAAATTCTCTTTGCCTTGCATTTGCCTGGTAATTATAAAACTATTCTTACGAAATGAAACAATACTTCTTTTCTAACAACAAAGACCAGTTTGGGTTCTATTTAGTATTATAAAGCACTAATATTATATTCTTGATGTCATTATCACTCTAAAGTCTGAGAAAGGATGTGAACTGGACCACAGGGAGAAAAAAAGAGATCAGATCAGGTGCAAAGATGAAGCTCTACTTTAAGAAAATTGACAAAATTTACCTCATTCACACCAACTCCCCTTGTGCGAGAGCAGACACCTCCAAAGTAACTCAGACTGCTTCTCTTATAGTGGAATGTCACGCGCCTTAAGAAAAAAAATCAGTATTAGGACACCAACGTCGACCATCACATAGACGGTCTCCTAAGACCCGTCTCTTCCCTTACACTGAATACCCCAAACCATCCCCCTTCAAAAAAAATCAAAAACTGCATTTCAAATACATTTAAATTTACACTGTCCTAAAAACCTTTACATTTGTATTATGTTAATAATCTCGGCTGAGGGAAGGTTAATGGAGCCCCTACAAAGCATCGTGTATCGGCTCAGGAAGTGAGGACACAAGTCGTGACTTTTTTCTACTAGAGAAGATCTGGTAGTGATACAAAATATTGCTGATTATTATAAAATGTTGATTGAAGACTGAAAGATAAGAAAGTAAATAGTGCAGGTGAGAGAAAAGGAAGGAACCTTGACTGGTCTGATTCCAGGACAGAACCTCAGAGAACTGTCTGAAAACAGCTTCACCATTAGTGGGGAAGGGAACACGTTTTACACACAAGAAAATATGGTACCTCTTTTCCTTAGTGATATAAGTTCAATTTTAGTCAGTAGTTCACCTCAAAGGTCTATATTTCCTAGCCTCTCTCCCAGCTCAATGTGGCCAAATGAGTAAGATTTAGCAAATGATTTCTTCGTGAAATAGACGTGTGCAAGCTTTCAGGTGCTAACTCGGCTGGAAGGAATGCCCTCTTGCCGTCCTCCAGGACTGTCATGCCTGCTTCCTGTAATGAAGGCTGGAGCACCAGCAGCCACCCTGAATCCTGAGTTGACCTTGTAGATGGAAGGTCTGAAGGTAGGAGGTTTTCTGAAGGTAGGTCTAATGACTGCAGAACCACCCTCCCAGCACCAGACAGCCCACCTCCATGCTTCTTACATCACAGAGAGCAATCAACATTGCCCTTGTTCAAAATCCATATGTTGACATAGAACTTAACTGATAAAGTGAAGGGATAAAGATAAACGTGAAGCCAAAGACTACAGGTACATACGAGATGAGATGCACAGCATCAGCGTGTTGCTTGACACGCTGCCGGTATTTGGAGAACTCATGAAGCATCTGCACAGGGTCGGTGGTGATGTCAATGTGATCCTTCTCAGTCCAGGTCTCTACAGCCACCAGGACAACCCTGGTATTGAGCTGTTCCTTGTAAATCTGGGGGCGTAAGACAGGACAGGTGCAGGAGGAAAATGCTGGGTCAAACAGGCACAGTCAGTGATTCAGAGTCAGCAGAGGGACAGGAGGGGAGGTGAGGGGGGAACACGAAGTCATCATTAGCTCGTCAGAGAGAATCTTCTTTTTCTTTCTCACTTCCAAGAGCAAAAACAAAGAGAGAATGAACAATCCCACAATCAGCCTTTCCTACAAGGTTATGTCAATCTCAAATCAGCACATGTGCTGGCCAGGCATCTGGCTTCAGGAGAGAGAGTAGGGACGTCAAGATTCTAAAGTCTGGACATAAATTCAGAACAGGGTTTAGAAAAGACACCCTCTCAAACCTCAGAGGAGGTAGCGAGTTGGAGCCAAAATAGCAGCTCTGGGTGGCGCATTATGGCCAGTAACTCCTGCAGGATTGGAACGGATGGCTAAGTCCTTGGACGAACACCAACACCATGGCTGGCTTGCCCTTGGAAGCTTTGTTACACGAAAAGTAAAATAACGCTGGGAGAGAACCACCAGTCTGAAGCCAAGAGAGAAAAGAACAGATTTGTATCACCAGTTCACCTTCGCCACAGGGTGGCGTCACTCACAGCGTTTCAATTGTGTCTTTCTGCTCTCTTCCTCTACTTTTGGCCCGGCAGCTAAATAATTCACATAATTAAGCAATTTCAATGAATGTTGTCATTTTGTCCTCTTTTCAAGCTAATTAAGAAAATAATGGATGACCTTTGAACACGCCGAAGAAAGGGAATATCAGCATGCCTAAATCAATGAAGCGAAAATGATTTTTACAAGAAGCAAGTTAAATGTAATGTCTTTTAAAAATCAATTGTTCAGCTGCAGAACCTTGTACGGTTACGCAAAATAAAAATTACACTTTTCAAGATGTAATTCTGTTCAATCATGCTGAAACGAGTAACCGGGCTGCTGCCAAGTAAACAGCTCTGGCGGGGGAAAGGTGTGTTTAATATTCTCATTTCCATATTCGCTTATAATTTTCCTCTCAGAAGACTGACAGGAGCTAAAATTAAAGAAAACCAGGTATAAATTGGCTTTCAGAATTTCAATCCTAACTCCATACGACACTCTATGCCCATCCAGCTGTGCCTACCAAGCATTGCATGAGTCTGCGTATGATTGGAGGGTTTGAACTGCGCAAAAGGCAGAAAAGAAGGCAGCTCTTTGGAGAAAATAAGTATCATTTAAGTATTTAGCAATTTATAAAATGGGTTTTGTTCACTAGTTAAGAAGAAACATACAATAAATATCAGATAAAAATATATTTAGCTGAACAAAATAGCACTTTACGTTAGAATAGACAAAGTAGAATGCTATATTTAATTTATGACTAGTCTAATGAACAAGTTATTGGAATATAATGAATAATATTCACATCTATGGATTTCCTACCTAAAACAAGAAAAGGCAAGAAAATCTTAACCATCACTCCCTGTAAATTACAAAATAAGGAAAAAAATTATCAATAGAAAAAATTTTTAGAGTTAGAGGTCTTTATAAGGAGAGAAGCATTTTACTGTTTCAAATCGGTTTTATTGGGGACGCACTTAATTCTGTCACCTAGAACTGAAGTCTGAAGCATTCATCCAAGAGGAACAGTAAGAAGATAAATTTGGGGTTCAAAATTTTTTTGCATTTCCTATACGCTGCAAACAAAATCCACCTCAATGTATTAGTTCTTCTGCCATACATTTAAGTCAGTAAGTTCAACTGATTATTATTAACAAAGTTTCCTCTGTCGAATTTAATTTACACTCTTCTTGGTAGCTAATTTTCTCCAGCATTTTTGTCCTCCTTGGGCGCTGGTGACAGTGAGAGCCGGACATCCCTCGGAAGCAACTCGAATGCATTTTCGGAGTTCCGAGAATAACAGGGCGGTCCCCCGAGAGTCTGGTAACACCCCTCTTTGTGAAGCCAGGACACTGCATATTCCCTTAGCCAGATGAGCTTAAAGGTGGCATTTTTACTTTTTCCCAGGAGAGAGCTAAAGTAAGCACAGAGAAATATACACCATTCTGCCTTGGGAAAATAGATTTGAGAAAACCGGATACTTACAGAGTCCACGAGGTTGACCACAGATTTTGCAAAGTTGTTGGTATGTGCGTGAGAAGAGCGATACTTCTTATACTGGGGAGGAAAAAAGAGGTATCAGTCACTGCTAAATCATAATGGCAAATCTCAAAATTTAGCAAAAGCAGAAACCCCACAGCAACAGTAGAAATTGGAGATTAAATATACAGAACTTAGTGTGCGCCATGTTGGGTATGGTGGCGTTCTCATATTATTTCTGTGTGAGGCAGCACAACTCTGACAACCTAAAACACCCACAATATTCCGGGTACCAGAGAGGGCCTCCAGAAATACGTGTGAGGAGCCTGGCTCCAGAGAAGTGAGTTTATTTCTGTCTCTATGTCTATAAACACAGTCCTTTCATCACCAATGAGACAAACTTCCCAGCTTATAAAGGGCTGATACCAGGACATTTAGTTCCAACTGGACACGTTCCTCACTTTAAACTCAAGGCCACATACACATCAAAAAAATTGCTTAGGCAGCACCTTAAACACTGTCTATGACGTGGAATGTATCTGCCATACATTCCAGTACGTTCTTTCAGAAGAATGCCTCCTCCGAAGGAAGACTTGGGCTTTTGACTGCTCAAAGTGAGAAGAAAGAAAAGACATAAAGCAGAAGTGAAGTGTGCCAATAGCTTATGATTATTTAAGAAAATAAGGAAAAATAAATCAATGGAATAGTTACGAAGCAACAGCGAAAGTTGTTTTAGCAAGGTGTACTTTGCTTACTCTGTCTTTGAGAGAACACTTGAAAACAACAGTCTACCACAGGGGCTCCTGCCCCCTACTGAGAAAAAAGAAAAACATGCCCAAACTGCCAAATAGGACTTGCACCTTAAGTTTTTACAGTTGTGTCTTCAATTACAACTATTAAAACAATGCATCCTCCATAAAGACTCAAAATATTTCTACATTAAAAACCACGATGCTCTTTGTTTGGCCTTTTCCACTTTCACACTGTAAATTTATCAGACTCTCCCCATTTCGTTCTCTCTAACCCTATGACTATGTTTTTAAACAAAGAATATATCTTAATGCTTACATATCTGATATTTATTTTTTATACTACTGAGCATACTTTCTCAGCCCATGATAAATGTTCAATAAATGAGTAGTGTGTTATTAGTAGCATTCATTAATTTAGAACTAGGTATATGTATAGCATTTGCTATCATATGAATGTTTGTATCTGTCCCCAAATTCATGTGTTGAAATCCTAACCCTCAAAATGTTGGTATTAGGAGGTGAGACCTTTGGGGGGTGCTTAGGTGAGGAGGGTGGGACCCTCATGAATTACTATTTATATAAAAGAGGCTGCAGAGAGACCCCTCTTGCACCATGAGGACACAGAAGGACATTTTAACTGCTTTTTTAAAACTGAGAATAAAGAAGCTGCTATAAATAGTACAGCATTTTAAGTTGCCTATCTTTAAAAGTAAATGCACAAGTCTCTCCGAGGTGATGAAACTGTTTTGGAACTAAGGAGAGATAATGGTTCACCACATAGTAAAGGTACAAAACACCACTGACTTGTACACTTAAAAAAAGTCTTGCCCTTAAGAAGCACACATCACAAAAAGAAAGTAAAAATACTAGTTCGAACTTCCTTTATGCAGTGGTGTTATACATCTATGAGAACAAATGGACATTCCTTCTGAATATTAATTGGTCTTTTTTGGCAACCTCTTTCTATAGTATAATGGGCAGGGAAATCTGACATGCAAGTTTCAAAAACGGAGGTCTTTTGAAAGCCTATCAAAATGGGATAAGATTTTCATTTATTTCATGTTTGTCATTTCCAAGTCTCTGATTTTCTTTTAGAAAGATCCCTCTGTCTGTTGTGAGGTGAGTGAATTAGAGAGGTTCAGAAATGGAAGCAGAGAGTTGTTGGGGAATTACTACAATAGTCCAGGTAAAAGATAACAAAGGCTGGACATCTGTATCAGCTGTGGACGGTGAGAAAAGAGAAGAATGAAAGAAGTCTCCTAAGTTTTGAACTTGAATAGCTGGAGGAGTGCTGGTGCCATCTAAAATAAAATCAGGAGAAGGACTTAGGGAAAAAGAAGTTCAGGACCCAGGAACCGAGAGTTCTGATTTGGAAATGTCCAATGTGAGATGCCTATTTAATATGCAAATATGGATGTCAAATAAGCTGTTGAATATGTATCTATGGAACTTAGAGGGCTAGAAGCATACAGGGTGATAAATTTGAAGCCATGCTATTACTTGAAGACTTGAGACTGGGAGGGATCACTCTGAAGGTGAGTGATAGAAGAAAAAGAAAGCCCCAAACCAAGCTTCAGAGCACTCCTATAATTCTGGAGTTCAGATATAAAAGACTAAGAAATGGACGGTGAAGTGGGAGAGCTGTTCTGTCACAGAAGCTGAGAGACAAAGGGAATCTTTCAAACAGGAGAGAATAATCAACGGTGTCCAATGCAGCCAATGTCTGCTCTGAGTTGAGATAGGAGATAAACTCATTCAATTAACAATTCTTAGAGAACAGTTTATGTGTATTCCTAACCATGAGTATTAGTGAGAGAGCACTCAATTTGGTAGGTACCTATAAAGTCGAGTTTTTCAGTATGCGGAACCTGTGAAACTAATAGAGAATAACACTGAATGTAAACTATAACTGAAAACGAAAAATAAATAACAGTGGTTTTAAAATAAGAAAAACCAAATGAGGTTTAAATTGAAAAATATTTGAGCTAGTACATTTTCGTTGCTGACTTACGCAGAAGAATACAGCAAAAATGTAAGCAAAACATTTGTATTCCATGTACTTTAAAACAGTTCCATCATTTTTCTATTAGAATAAGGTTTTTAATATTTATATTTAGATTAATGGCTCAAAGAAATATTTGCAGACCCTTTTCAAGGCTATAATTGGCTTACAAATTAGGCTCCACCAGCCAGCCACTAAAATGCTTTCTACAAAATTAAGAGATTGTGTGTGTGTGTGTGTGTGTGTGTGTGTGTGTGCCTAATGAAACCCACTGATGATCTGATGCTTGTTCAAAATAAGATATCTGCATTTTCTTCAGAAGGCCAATATGAGGTTACTGTGAATTAAGGAGGTAAGCTTGAATGTAAATGCAGGGAAACATTTCTATTTCCTGCCTGAATGAGAACTAATTGTGTATACAAAGAAAAATGCCCCATCTCCATTTATGAGAAAACTTACTTTCACATGATCTGAATACTGAAAATAATTTACATGTAAAGTGCCAAATTTGCCTTTCCTTCCTAAACAAATACAATCTTTAAGAAATTTGTTTTCTGAAAAAAATAAGATAAAATTAGAGCTTGATTTTCAATCCAAGGATAACAGTTATCAAAATAACTATGCTGCCTCATCCAGCACAAAGATTGTAAGATGAATACTCTCAGTAGGGTGATTATTCTAAAACCTTACAGCAAATCTCCTGATATTGAAAAACAGATGTAAATTATTCTAGTTTAGCTTTTTAAATCAAGACTTTTTTTTCAAAGCACTGGGAGTTAAACATTTCCCAGCATGTCAAAAGTACTGACTATATTAGCAAATAAACTACTGACCAAAACTCTTTAGAATGTTCTAGGCTTCAGCCAAGATATTTTATAAGAGAAGTGGTTAAGTGGAATATGGTTAAGAAAGTTTCTTACTTTATCTTAAGAAGAGGCCAATGGAGGGGGCAATAACTATTTCTCATACATTGTTTAAGTGTTACTAAAATGACACATTGAATGGCATTTTACTATGACAGAAGTAACAAAAGATTATTCATCTTTCCAATGTTTTAATCGTCAGTTAAGGATGGTCTCTTTGGGCATACCTTTATTATAATACAGGTGCTTATTTCCTATAATTATATCTGCCACAAATCATAATAATTAGCGAGGAAAATAACATGCTAGCAGAGAAAAGACATGAAATGAAATTAGAAAGCAGTGACCAAATACACAGATGGAGAAAAGCAGAGAGTAAGACTTTTACATGAAGACAAGTGAAAGTTGCCACACCTTGTTGACGATGTGAGAGGGGGTGGGCGGGGCAGGGGAGAGTAGGCAGGGGAAATGGGGGACAACTGTAATTGAACAACAATAAAAATATTTTTAAAAATAAATAACAATTTCATTAAAAAAACAGTTATATCCATCCAAGTTACAATCATTACTAAATAGAGGGAAAGTTTAGAGTCCTGAAATTTCTATAAAACCCAGTGTTCCAAGACACCACAAAATAAATGAAGTCATTTAATATTACCAACAAACAAAGTATCTAAGTATCTTGGCTTTAATGAGTAGTAAATGATAACTGAATAAAAAGTGAAGTGTATTCTTTTTCAAGTAAGCTGTTGGGTCCACAGCACATTGATTCTATACTCTTACCATTTTGTGATCATTAACAATCATAAGTTCCAAATATTTCATTTCTTCAAACACACCACGAGACGGCTGTGGAAAATAAAAATATATGGTCAGAGAGAACAGCACCATCTCTGATGAGGACTGGCCAATTATAGACTGACTCTGAATTTCAGAAGAACCCTTTGCTGCCTATTTAATAAACACCCTTGAAGAAACCTGCTCAGAGAAATAGAAAAAAGGGACCATAACATGTGAACAAACATTCGAGTATTCAGAAAAGAACTATATTTAAGTGTTATTAAAGTACTCATCAAGATAGAGAACCACCTATGTCATTTTTATACGATTTTTATATATAAAAGTATTCCAGTGAAAAATGTATAGTATAATTCTGTTAAAACAAATAATCTCAATTTCTTTGGCTCTGAGATGTGATAAAATATTCATCTCTATTTAAAACTTCAAGAAAGTCCTATGTAAAACACAATTAACAAGAATAGCAGAGTACTATCAACTGTAGTAAAATAGAAACTTTAATTCAATGGAGTGAAATCTTAATAATAGTATACTAATTATTTGACACACAGCTTCTCCCAGGAATAAACATTAACAATGGCAATATTCTAAATTCTTCTAAATTTTTATTATTATGAGATAATCTGTAAGAGCAAGGGCTAATTATCTTAGCCTTTATTTGGACTTCTATTTCTTTTTCACAATTAGAAGACTACAAGGTCATTGATCAGTTTATATTTCATAGGGGTGAGCTTTAGTGAAATGTCATTAGCCTGTATAAAACTTATTACCAACCACAGGACTAAAAAGTAACTAAGATATCTCTTTCAAGAAGAACTAAAAAGATATCTCTAATTTTAAAAAAGAACAAGAAAAAGAGACGTGGATCAATTATCACCGTCATACAAAGACAGGATCATAAAAGCAGGAAGATCTGACCTGCAACTAAGTTTTTGATGACTGGAGGTCTAATTTTTTCAGAAAAATTACATTCACCAAAACATTATCTAAAATGTGCAATTCCCAGTATAATTACTCATTAAGTTATCTAGTAAATTACCATGTAATCTATATGCTATGGAATTAATTCTCAGTTACATACTATTCACCATGTAATTACTAGACAGTCCCCGTCATCACGGCTTTCTCATCTACTATGAAAAAGACTAGCAACATAATTTCAGTTACGAAGCCCCTATACTTTTATCGATACATGGGAGCCAAAAGACAATTGCTGATTACATAATTATATGATTCTTATTTAGTAACTATTATGATACTAATGGTCAAATAGATTCATTCTGTTCAGAAAAACACATGCGGCTTCAAAGTTTGGTATCACAGAGGTTTTCATTAGGAAGAAATAAAAAATAAGTGTGATTAGCCAATATCTAAAAACCTAACTCTTTCCTATTTCTCTTGTTAACAGAAATGTCTTATGTGATGATATTATATAAGACATATTGTTATTTTTATAATTTTTTTCTTTTATAGATTCTAGATAGAGAGGAAGGGAGGGAGAAAAGGAGAGAGAGAAGCATCTATGTGAGAAACTTCCATCAGCTGCCCCATGCATGCACTAAGAACAGCAGACCAAATCCACATCCCAGGTGTGTATCCTGACTGGTAATACAAATGCCATCCATCCTTTCAGGTGGTGGAATAATGCCCAGCCAACTGAGCCACACCACCCAGGGCAAGCCATATTTTTTTAAATCTGCTATATTTTCAATAGAAAAAAAGTACTGCAATTTTCATAAGAAAACACTTTGAAAATAGAGCTAAAACAATACATTCCTTCTATGACATCGGGGTTCATAGAACACCATAATCAGCTTACTATAGGGAAAGTAGATTAAAAACTAATATACCTATAAGACTCAAATTTTAGGGGTCTTTGGTTTGTTGTTCTTGTGTGTAAGAGGAAGTTGCCCACATCTTAACTGTTTCAGGTGCACTTAGGTGCAATGATGGGCAACAGCTTAACGGAGTGAAATGGCCCCACCTGTGGCTCAAGGTCACACTCACATTCACTGCTCTCTTCCTCCTCCTTTTCAACCACTGTAATTCAGATAGGAAGGGCCACTCGTGACTGCTTTCCACACCTGAGTAAAAGAAAAAGGAATACCAAAATGTATGTTCAACTGCATTCCAATGGGAGTATGTTTTTCAAATATCGCATGAAGGAGTATTACATGAAGAAAATCTTCATGGATAAGAGATTTCATCTCAAATCAAAATTAAGGTGAAAAATGTACACTGGTCATTAAACATTTCACATTCTCACAGTCACACACATAATCCAATTTGTAATTAATAAATTATAATATACATCAAACATAATTTTCTTCCAAACATCATCAAAAACAGAATGAGTTATTCAAGACTCATTAGAATGTGTATATTTCGCCTACAATCACCTGATGTTCAATATCTGAAAATTTAACAGAATTCCACTATGCTTAATTCGGTTTAGAATTAAAAATAATGTATGCCATAAGCTTTTACATATATTATCAAGGACTTTTTACATCAATAAGCAAAAGCAGTAACATCACATATAGCAATATCCAAAAGAAGGCTTCTGCAAATCAGCATGCTTAAGATGTCTCAGGGACGAAGGCCTGTGAGAGAGAGTGCAAGTTGGCCGCAGAGAAGTAAATTTGACCACACTCTGGTTCCTCGTGCACCTTTAGTCCTGGCTTCATGTTTCAGTCTCTCCATCTGAAACAACTACCCACCCCTCATTACACGAAAGCTACCGTTCACTCCACCACCCATCCACACCGTTCACTCCAGTTCTCAAGTCAATTCTGCTTCCCACAAGCCTGCATGTCTACCAAGTTCCACCAAATCATAGCTCCTATTACATAAAATGGGATGGCTGTTTGAATTAAAACTTACTGAGATTCTTCATTTGCTTAGAATACTGTCCTGCCAAGGTTTTCTGGATTATATGTGGTCGACCTGTGCTTTTCTGAAACAAAAAACAATTGTAGACAACTGAAAAACAAGATGTAATTATGCCTCTATGGAACAGCGTTAGAACTTTCTGTAATATCTTTCCTAAAATGGGGGCATTTATATGCTAATGTTTTAGCTATCAAAAATGAAAAGTGCATGATGTATTGAAATTTCAATTTTAAATAAATAGAGCATCATCTAATTGTTTCAATTTAGATAAAAGCAATAGTCTTATTAGCTACTCTTAAGTCTTAGCTTTCTCCAAAGCCACAAATAGGAAATTCACAAGAAAAAAGCCACAAATGGTCAATGCATATATGAAAAAATGATGAATACTTTAATAATCCTTCAAAGTAAAAAATGGAAATATACGAATTGGTGCCTTCAAGTTGGCAAAGGTTTAAAAATTGATAACCAAAGTTAATTAAAAAGAGGTGAAAAGTACTCTTATACACTGCTGGCAGGAGAAAATTGGTAGCATAGTTCAAAGAGAAATTTAGCAGTTCTATTAACAGCCCTGAAAACATCAATACCCTTTGCTCTAGAAATTACACTTCTAGAAATGTCTTATTTCCATTACTAGTATTACTATTAGCTCCCATTACTGAATGCATCCTGTGTGCCAGGCACTCTTAATGAACACACTATGCAATTTAATCCTCACAAGAACTCCATACAGTGCATATTTCATCCCCATTTTACAAATAAAAATATAGGAGCTCAGAGAAGTACATTACTGAACTTACATTACAATCTAATGATCCAATTTATTTTTAAGTATATGTGAATATATCATTGGGAAACTGGAAGAACGCACACTGCAAAGTGAAGAGAAGTTATTTCTGGGTAATGGGATGATGTGCAACTACCACTCAGTTAAGTTCTTATTTTGCCTTTCCAAATTTCCTGTAATGTATCGGTTTTATAATCAGAAAAATATTTTTAAGAGGAGTGTTCTTAATAGCTTACATAGCCCTGGCCCCTAGCTCCGCTGGTCAGAGCATCATTTGGATATGCCAAGGTGGGGATTTGATCCCTGGTCAGAGCATATACAAGAATCAGCCAATGAATGCATAAATAAGTGGAACAACAAATTGATGTTTCTCTCCCTCTCTTTCTTTTTTCTTTCCTCTTTCTCTCTAAAATTAATAAATAAAAAGTTTAAAAAATAGGTTACATAAAAGACTTACAATAATTAAGAATTTCACCATTCATGTACTACCTAAGAGTAATGAATTCTCACTAGAAACATCACATCCCTATTACCTGACTGACTGTAAAGCATACTAAAAATAATGATAATAATAAACAAAATATCAAAAAACATCTAAATTCAAGCACATTAAACTCTGGTAATGGGTGAAAACGTATCTAGAGTAATGAGACACAATTTTAAACACAGACTAACTGCAAGTTTCAAGTGCTGTTCCTTTCCCTCCAGTGGCAAGAAAGATGAGGACAAACTGTTCAATGAAGACAGAAAAAAACAAGTACCACATGATTTCACTTAGATGTGGAAAGTTAAAAAAAAACAAAATAAATGGACAAACAGAAATAGTCTCAAAGATGCAGAGAACAGACTGATCATTGCCAGCCTGGAGAGGGGCTGGGAAGATGGGTCAAAACGGTGAAGGGATTAAGGAGCACAAACTGGTGGTTAGGAAACAGTCACAGGAAGCACAGCATAGGGAACAGAGCCAATAATATTACAGTAACTATGTATATGGTGCAAGGCGGGCACTAAACTTGTCACGGGGATCGATCGTAAGTTACAGAAGTGTCCATGCACCTGAAAGTAATATAATGTTGAGTGCCAACCGTAATTGAAAAAAATAATAAAAGTTGAAAAATAAAAGGCAGGCAGCAAGAACAAAAATAAAGAAGAAAAGGCATTCAGCATGCAGCGATCCACTCGGGAAGAATACGATCGTGGGTATAACAATGCAAAACCACCGCTTTAAACGTTAGGATAATAGCAGCCTATATTTATCAATCTCTTCAATAGTTTATTAGACCCAGTCACATACATTTATTAATTCATTAAAGCTAGAAAATTGCCCTATTAGGGATGTAATGAAAAATTACCTCATTTTACATGTTTAAATACTCTAAAGCTTAGGGAGCTGTTACTTTTCGTTTTGTTTTGTTCTTTAAATTTTACATTATTTTGTTCTCTAGGGTAACAGGGCTATTAATTAATGCCGGAAATTAAATTTTTAGCTGAATGAGTCAAATACTTTTGCTCTATACCTACTACTGGAGTATGGGAAAAACACTTTATTTAATCAAAATATCTTTATCTAGGTGGGGTTGTCTCATTATCTGTTAATTTTTATAGTTACTAGCTGAAAAATGATACAGGATTATTCAAACAGTCACCATGTGATATTTAATGACTTTTCTGTCTCAAATTTGAAATTGACCCCATATTCACGCATATATTGCCATGACAAAGGAAAGAAATGTTTGTTCAGCTGTTATTATCAACAGCCTGCATGACCATTACCTGTTTCAAAATTTATATCTACATTTCAAGTCTCTAAAGATTAAAAAAACATTTTTTGCTCCCTATCAAATGACTGCAATATTCTGACTCTGTCACTTTCAAGCTGTTCTCCCAGTAGCTGCTCTGTTCACTGACATGACTTCCCCACATGACCTCCCAGTGCCTTCACCTCCTACCATCCCGCCCTTCCCACTCTGCCCCAACCAGCCTTCCTCCAAGCTCCTCCAGGCTCTGGGAATGGTTCTGCCTCAGGGCCTCTGCATTTGCTCTTCTCTGAAGTGTTCTTCCAGCTGCCTAATTTCTGGAAGGCCTTTGTTCAAAACTAGTACCTCATTGTGCCCCTTCCCCGGATAGTTAATATGAAGGCTGAGCTCCACTCCTTCAGCCTGCGCATTCCTGTCGGCCCCTGCAGACTGTAAGATCCATGAGGTTGGGGCTCTACGTCTGTTTTGTTCACCTTTCTGTCCCCAGCACCTAGAATGGTACCCGGCATGTAGTGAACTCTCATGTCAGTATCTGATGAACATGTGTCAGATTTCAAATTTGGTTACATTCTATTAGTGAGCAACACCATCAGAATGTACTGAGATATAACTGACGTTAGAGCATGGTATAAGTTTGTGTGCAACATGATTTGATATATGTATATATTACAACATGATCTCAACAATGAGTTCAGCAAACACCCATCACCTCACATGATACAATTTTTTTCTTGTGATGAGAACCTTTAAGATCTACTTTCTTACCAACTTTCAAATAGAGAGTACAATATTACAGTCCCAGAATTTAATTGCCTTATAACTGGAAGAATGTACCTTTTGATGAACTTCACCCATTTCGGCGCCCCCACTGGCCTCTGCTACCTGCTAATCTGTTTTCCATTTCTATGTATTGAGCATTGTTTCAGATCCGACAAATAAGCGAGATCATATAGTGTTTCTTTGTCTGACTTACTTCACGTAGCATAACACCCTCATCATTTTTTGTCTAGGTTGCTGGCCTGTACATGACTCTAAACACTATTGTCAACCCTACCTCTAAAAACACTGAAATATTACATAATATAATCATAGTGCGGCCGCAAATTTTCCCACTGAGGGTTCTTAGACTCATAAAAGGTAATACATGCTTACAGTTGTGCACTTATCTAAAGAAGTGGTGACAATAAAAGCTAGCTGAAAGAAAAAGAAGTTGGTCTATACAAAGCATCATGTCCTCTCTGCTCATCCTATAGACTGGAAAGAACTTCCACTTCAGAAACCTCATTCTGCCACATCTTAGCATCCTTTACCCATAGCCTGGGATGTTCAATTTAAGCTTCACAATTCATGGTGTCATTCTAGGTCTGAAATAGGTACAATACATAAAGGCTCATTGAAATCTACGTTATATTCTTTTCCTTGCTCAAAGGCGAAGATGTTGAAAGAATACACCATAAGGGAACTGACGTTACAGCCAGACTTACCTCATCATGAACCAGCTCCAGTGGTTCGATCATGTACATGAAGGTATTATCTTCAAACATTCCACTGCAACACAAGAAATCATGCAAGGAGAGAATGAACACTTAGAGCAAACAGCAAGGAATAGCAGGTGAGCTTCATATTGTGTCTTTAAATATAAAGAGTATAGCTAAATAAATACCTTCGTGTTGCCCCAAATCTAATTTACATATCTGTATGGAATCCTGCTGTGGTCCCCACACTATAGTCAGACAGTGTATAGGCTACACAGGGTGTAAAAAGCGTACACTGCCCCAGTTGGTGCGGCTCAGTGGATTGAGCACGGGCCTGCAAACCAAAGAGTCACTGGTTTGATTCCCAGTCAGGGCACATGCCTGGATTACAGGTCAGGTCCCCAGTAAGGGGTGCGGAGAGGCAACCACACATTGATGTTCCTCTCCTTCTCTTTCTCCCTCCCTTCCCCTCTCTCTAAAAATAAATACATAAAATCTTTTTTAAAGTGTACACTAAGAGCAAACAAATTATACCTGACATAATTAATTTTTGAAATTAAATGGACATATTAGAAGATTAATCTGGGATTGGACTGTTTGTGCAGTTCCAGCATTGTGAGTTATTATTCCAGAATAATGCACAACTAGCCCCAATGTCTTGTTATGCAAATTCAATATCATCTATTAGAAAAATGGGTTCTTCATGCATAACAATAATCTAAAATTATCTGACTCTGAAGAGGCAAACAGAAGCATCTTTATGCTTGCAAATTGTGAATTTCCATTAAGCAGTAATAACTGTGCTGAAATTACATTTAATTTACAGAGATACAGGATATTTTACTACATGTAAAGATAAGATTTTCAAGACCGGTTTTCCCCACATGAGTGCAAATACATCTTTACACGATGTGTCCATGTCTGGTTCTAAAGGTGCCCACAGATGGTTTTTAAAGCCTGCCTCCAAGCCGATGTATGAGCTTCTCTCTTTCACACCCACTCTCGTTTGGCTAACTCCTGGTTCTCCTTAGGTCTAAACCAACTGGTATGTGCTCTGGCGTCCACCTCTGGGAAACCTTGCTGGATCTAAGTTAGGTTACCCTATGTCCTTCCCCTTCACAATACCTACCAAAGAGGCAAATTCATTATCAATCTGTGTAATCATTCGTTTAATCTCAGAATCTCCTACAAACTCTAGGTGTTCATCAGAGAGCAGAGACTGTGCCCTCCCTGTTCATTACTCCAGATCCAGCCCCTAACATGGGAATGGCACAAAAGAATCACTGCAATACAGATCTGTGACAGACGGGATGGAAAGAATGAGTGGAGGGAAGCAAGTTCATTCTCCCAATGAGAGGCCCACGTACTGAAGTCCATTGCAGGTCGACAGAGCCACCCTGGAGTCCTTGACACCTCGGATGCTTCCATGGTAGTAACAGTGCTCTCCGCCCTACAACGCAGAAGAAGGCCGACTTGAGAAATTATGCACCATGATTCACTACTGGGACACTGCTGTGCAGCAGAAGAACTGGGAGGATGGTCCCAGAAACTCCTCCTGGTTAATATGAAATTCCAAAGAGCACCAGGCAATTTTTCAACTTCCCTGTAATGAGCATGTGTGTACAAAATTTAATGAAGGATGAGAGGCTTGATGAAACTAAGACACCAATGCAACTGGCACAACTTATATACCTTTCTTAAGCAGGTAAGGGAGTACATACTTAACAGGTATTGTTCTGGAAGAGTCCTCTGCCTAAATGAGGAGAGACCACAATGTTGCTGTTTATAATCATTTGTTACAGAAAATTACATAAAACCTTATTTTTCCTTTCCTGTCATTTAAAATTAGTTTTTTAAAAAATTTTGTTAGTAATATACAACCTAGTTTTCAAAGTCAAATGGTAACTACAAAGCTTATGTTTTCAAATATAGCAAACCCTTCCTCCCTCCCTTCCCACCGCCACAGCGATCATTTTCAACTCCTAACCGCTTCTGTTGTTTACCTATGTACTTCTGAATGGAATATTCATACTCCTACCTCCTGATTTCTTGCACTTTAGAAATTATTTTCCTAATAATGAATCTTAACACCCCCTCTGCCCCCAATGCATTCCAATACACAGCATCAATTCTGACTTAATATTTAATGTTTACATCACCACTGTGCAAAGATTGTGCATAGCTGTGCCACTGCGAGTACATTTGCTTCCTTGCTCCATTTTAATGTTTTGAGAAATTTTGCTTCATTTTCTTGTATGATTTTCCCATTTATTTAATAGCCCCATTATCTAAACTATTACCTACAACTGTTCTACAGTCAAAGCCATCAGATAACTAACTTATCATATCCATTTTTTTCCTGGAGACACCCTATGGTTTCCCTTTGGCCTCCTGTCAGGCCCGGTGCACACCCACCAACCAAAACCGCTCTGCAGTTTTGCCCTCCGCCCCCCTTCTACTCTGATTCCCAGGTCCCATCTACATCTTCTCCATTCAGCCTCACCCTCCTCTTTTCTGGAGGCACACATCCTCTGATACTTTCTTGAAAAAGTGTTCATGGGAGATAAATCTGGTGAGAACATGCACAAATGAACATTACTTTTTCTGTCTTTCCACCTGTGTGACCATTTGGGTGGGGAGAGAATCCTGGAATGGAAGTATCTTCTCTTGGCATTCTGATCGCATTCTGCATAGTCCTACAGCTTCTAATGTTGATGTCGTGAATCGGATGTAATTCTAATGTTAGCTATTTCCTATCAAATGTATTTTTCCCTTTCAGGAAGACTTTAGGAAATTTTATTTGTCCCCATTTTTTTTTTATAAAATCTCATGACATGTGTTGGTGTGGGTGGGTCTTTGCTTATCCATTGCGCTGGGCACTCTGTTAGACCTTTTAATCAAGAAAATGCATACACTCTAGCTCTGGGAAACTTTGATTACTTCTCTGATTATTCCCTCCTTTCCATTTTTCTCTAAAAAACGGAACTTTTTCACCAGAGTACAGAAGATATGGTTGCCTGACTGTATATAAGGCCTGGAATAGATCAGGGATTTAAATGGGCTCCAGGCAGACTTCCAATCGACCTTTCTGTTTTCATGTGCCTTCAACTTCTGGGCCTTTCTGGGTGCAGTGACGTGAGCGGCTGGCTTCTTCTGGGTTTGCCCAGAAGAACTGCACGGAGCAGGAAAAGCTCGAACCTCAGTTACTCCTCATCCGCCTGCTTTCTCTCTCCCACAACTTTGTGGACACCTCTCTTCTGCTGTCTTTTCTTCTCTTGTCTTGCCCTTCTTTAAACTTCTTAACCACTATTTGAGCGGGCTATGGAAGGGAATAAATATAAGCATTGAATCCACAATGTTTAACCAGAAGCTTCCTATTTATTACCTTAAATGGAGCGTATTGGACATACTTTGACTTCTTATTGATGATTTACAGTCATTCCAATCACTGATTATTATACTGTATCACAATAGCCTCTGAGGCCACTTAAAGTGACTAATGGTGTCCACCCACACACCAAATGACCACTTCCCAACCAGCTCAATTTGTTTCCTCTTAGTAACTGTAATACAAATCTTCAATGTCAGTTGTCTAAATTTGGTATTATAACCTTGTTAATATTTGATAAAGGGTAGCTTTTTGGGTTTTGTAAAACAACCTTATGTATAAATATTGACTTGTATGTAACATGTCAACTTCTGTTTTCACAATCAGCTCTGGAACCTATAAGGACAAATGATATCACACATCTCAGTAATCTGAGAATCCAGCTCAATACCACACAATGAGACTTCACACTCTTCACATGATCCTCAAAGCAGTCACAGGTAACTGTAAATTCCATCAAAGTGGTTATTTAGGACGCAGTATCATACCAAAAGGCTATCTCAAATCAGGCAATTATTAGAAGTGCACAGCAAACACTGCCATATTTACTTGACCTTTCTAAGAAAAACTGTATTTTTTCAGGTACTCCTAAAAATATTCCTCTTTCCCCAGAAAATATTTCCAAGTCCTTCCTTAGATTTAGTTTCATTCACCGGCATTGGAAAGTGAAGGCTGACGTGCTCCCTCTCAGTGTAAAGGTCATTGTTATCCGTGTTAACTAAGGCAGAATCTTAACTGAAGGGAACTGTTTCAATTCCCTATGTATTGGAATGCAGACCACCCTATTTTCTGGGCCTCAGGTGAGACTTGAGGCAGCATCCCATCCCTGATGTTTATCAGCATCATTAAAAAGTGTTCATCTCTAATTGTGTAGTTATATTAAGTGCTCTAAGTAGTTTGGTGGGTTCTAATGCAGTGTTAATATTAGTAGTATTAGAGGGCTTTCTGAGCTACTAATTACTAAATTTATATCAAGTTTTTAAGAAAGCGTTATCAGAAAAATACCATTTAGCAACTCTCCGGATCTACGTGGCATTTTATAAACATCGCTGCAAAGTAACATATTGAGGTAGTTCACATTAAATAAATCCTGGCTGAAGAGGCATTCCCTCTTGGGTAAAAGGGGCGACAGTAGTGGACCAGAGCAAAGAGGCCACTTCGTTAACAGTGACACTGCACAGCCGGCCCCAGGGGTGCCGTCCACACGAGACTAGCCATCGTGAACACTGAGTCTCGCAGCAACTACTCTCTCCATGTACCAATGGGGAGACAGTCGCAAGGTGTTAAAAGGCTCTGCCGACGACGGCAAAAGCCGAAATGAAATCTCACATCTTCAGACTCTCAAACTGGTGTTCCTCCAGTCAGAAGGGCCTCAGGGACTTCAAGAGTGCTGGCCAGTGAGTTTGAGATCGCCAGCTATGCCTGGGCCACAGATATGTGACTGAGCAAACAGCAGGCTGGGGAGCCAACTGGGACTCATCTGGTTGGCGCACGGCACAAGTCTGCGTGGGCCTCCTGGGGCACTTTGGGATTCAGAGCTGTCAGTCAGTTACCTAAACTGAACGCAATGGAGCATCTGATAAGTGAACGTTATTGACTAGACAAAGGAACTTGTAAATCCTAGTCAGTATGCTCCCCAACTTTCTCAGCCTCCCACTTTCACAGAGCTGAACACCCCACAGCCAGGAGATGCTCAAATAACTGCGACCTGGCTCGACACGGCTGCCGGGCTAAGAAGCCCACTGGAAACCACCAGACCGCTCCTGCAAATAACGACGCACTGAAGCCAAACGCATCCGTTAACACACTTTCCAACCAGAAGTGGCCAGGGACAGCAACGGCGTGGGCCTAGGGATCACACTGCACAGTGGGAAACAGAGTTGTTCCCTGGTGTCGCTGATCAAACGACAGCAGTGGTTTTCTATTCGACTTACTTTAAATACAACCCAAATGGAAAACAGAAACCTATGTTTTAATTTGCTTTAAAGAAATAGGACCTATTGGAAATAGGACCTATTGTTTTAATTTGCTTTAAAGTTGCTCCACCTTTGTGTCTGTTTAATGATCTCATATGTTTTAGTAAAGTGCTATCACCCAGTTCTTACCATCCTCATCACTAAAGAGACTCTCATAAACTTGGTTGTTCACAGTGACCAACCTCCCATTTTTTCAACTGACTCCTGAACACGTGGATAAACGTTTGCAAAGAAACTACAATACATAGGACTTAGCTCGTGAATGTGTGTATTTTGATATTCCTGGATGTATAAGAAAATATGACTACATATTCACTATTCTGTATACATATCTTTAAATACCTCAAACTTAGCAACTAGTATCAATTTATTTCATATACCAGTGGTCTGGCAGCAAAAGAGGAAAACATGTCTATAACTGGACACATATACCTGAATGTGAATATCACAGAATTAAGGAAAATTTTAAAATATTTTAGAGAATCAGAGAACTTGTGACCCCAACAACGCCAGTTTAATTATTTACCTTTATTAAACTCAATGGGGGGGTGTTTACATATGAGAACAAGTTGGCTGTACCAATGCCATATAAATTTTTAACAGTTCACACAAAATTATACTGTGGAAACTTAAAATAGCTTTGTGAGAACAAATACTGTCTGCTCTCTTGACTTCATGGGGATTTTTTAAACTTCCAGCCAGGAGCCACACCCACCAAGGTCCAGTCCCTCTGACAACAGTCCCTGTCCGGAAGTCCTCACGGAAGAAGGGTGCTTACGTTGAGCCCCAGAGACGACTCAATAAGGAAAGCACACGCACACGCACGCACACGCACACTGCAGTGGGGACACTGAGCAGGGTGATGTGACTGCAGTGATAAAGAAAAGGACAAAGGCGGGGATTTTTATCTGTCTGGTTCACTGATACATATCCAACACTTAGAACAGTGACTACAGCACAGGAAGCACAATCAATACTGTTTAATAAGTGAGCGAGAATGGCTTAGTCATGAGCCTCAGGGGCAAGACCTGCCTTAAAGGAACAGAGGATTCTTGTTTGTTGAGAAAGTGGGTAAACAAACCTCAT